GCAGCTTGTTGCCCCATTTCTGGTGAATGTATTGTGCAGTCCTCTATGTTTACCGTTGCCGGGAAAAGTGCCATTTACACTTTGGTGTTGGCTTCGAACAATGGGGCAGATTCCATGAGCTATATTCTGTTGTTTCCCTCACTCTGGGAAACCGCTCTTAGTTATTTTTGGAGCTGACTGTAAATTGTGGATGATGGATGAAGTATTTCTCCTTCAGAAGGAGACATTCAGCACATTGGGACTGGGAATAACAAGATTGTTAAGAAGGTGTGCTTGTGTGCATGTGCATGTGTTTGTATTGACCTCTTGGTCTCAGTGGCAGGCTCTGTTTGCAAGGATTTTTTTTTACAATTTGACAAGCTTTATTTTTAGTCGCTGTGGGATAACCATAGGCTGCTGAAGCGTCTCCTTTACCCGAATGGGAGACAAAGATCCTGTGTGCCAGGGGAGAGCACAGTGTTATTACACACAAGAGTAAAAAGAACATTGTACTTTATACTTAGATTTCCAAATATTTCAAAGCTGTGGACAGTTTTTGTCACCAGGTGAATGATAAGCCCTCTGTTAACAATTAAACAGTGTGTGGTAGCTGAAAAATGAATGTAGTTTTGAAGGGACATTGTCAGGAAAATAGATTCCTTGAAATATAGAATTTAAAAGTCTTGTGTCACTTAAAAGTTACTATTAATGAAAACTTGGAATCTGTAAAGTCCTACTCCTTGACTCTGTATTTTCCTGTTCCTGTCTGTGTTTACTAAAGGCAATCAGATGCTGCTGTAGGAACACACAAACCCCCATCAAGGGTCTCTGGCATGCAAGTCTGCTTCAATTAGATTGAGTTTCCCCAGAGGTAAATCAGGTGCCGTGTCCTTCAGTCAAAGGGCTGTGTGTGTAATAAGTTAATTTTAGATCAATATAAAACATTTCTGTCTGAGTTAAACTTCACTGAGCTGGTGCAGACTGCATTCCAAACCATTTATGAACATTTGCAGCACGAGGCAGACTGCCCCAGTTGTTTGGAGTCCTGCTGTATACTTTTATGTCTGCCTCTCAAGTCTAGGGAATCGCCTAAGCTGAGTAGGCTGGAGTTCAAAACATGCTGTTACAGACAGTATCTTTTCACCAGAAATTTATAGCAGAGGACAAATCCATTTGTATTAGACAAACCCATGTAATGCACATCATTCATGTGGTTTCCCAACCGTGATGTTCCAGGAATTTCAGAACCTGAACACTGGCCTGTCTTCCTGCTTATCTGGTCTTGTCAACAGAGCCCAGCAGGCTCGCTCTCAGCTCTAACTGGTGTTTATTTACCTAGAGGGAACAGTCCTTATGCAACCACTACACCCCGTGCTGCTAAACTCGTCAGCCATGGCCTCCACAGTTGACCCTCAAACCCCAGTTTCCTGTTGGGATGTTCAGGACACAGCCGGGCATGTTCAATTTTGTGCTGGTTTCCTCAGTGTCGTCTCTGGCGTGGAGTTTGGAGACTCAGAAAAGCACAGAGAGGGACACACGGCCTCAGCTTTCTGTCACTGCATGTTCATACGGGATTAGTTTATTTGTATTCTGACACAAACACTGCATTTACAGAGAGTGATGGCAAACACAGGGCTGAATAACAAAGAATGCAGCATGGAGGGATCAGTTTCTCAGAGTGGGAAGGCCTATTTTGGAGGTCAGGAGCAGTAAAAGGATGTAGGCTCTGGTATGTGTGGGGTGGTATTGACTGTTTGGCCTCGGCTTTGAATGCCCCATTATTTGTAAGGCTTCCTTCCCATGAAGTGTTGCGAATCTAATCAGTCTGTAAGTCATCTTCTGGATAGTCGAGCCTCATTGTAGTACCTCACACTACTCTGTGAGATTGAATTCTACCCCTGTAACACAGACAAGCACATTCACGTATTTTTTACCCTTACTTACAGACTACATCCAGACTAATACATTTTCATTTGAAAATGTGTAACTATTGCTACATTTACAACTAGTGTCCACATTACTCCGACTTTTTGGGGACCCGCAAACGGATACCTTTTAAAACACTGCTGACCCCATTTTAGTTTGAAAACTCATGGGTTGGGTTTTAGTCTGGATGGGCCGAAACGGAGACTTTTGGAAAGGATGACGCAGACACCAACATTAGCTTCTCGACTGGGTCTTCTCAGTCACGACTTCTCAAACCAAAACATTAGAGCTAGGTGTACATACCTTTCGTGATTTTATACTTTTTGCGTGGACTTCTTCCAGTAATGGATAATGCTTCGGACCGGTACCGCTCTGATACATCGTTGCATTTGCTTTTACCGCCAACTTGACTGTCTTAAACTCCGCCTTACACCTTGTCGCTAGTCCAAGCTAAAAAATCTCAAGTCTTACTTTTGAACGTCTGCATAGCATTTTCTGTTCCTTAGCAACCAACCAAAGAGTGGACAATCTGCTTCCTGTTTACATGTCATGTGGGTTTTATGGATGGAGATTAATTCTGAAATGGTGCTAAAACTCTTGTGTGTACAGAGACGTTATTCGTGTGGATCTTACCACACTTTTTATTCCTAAATTTCCACTCTCACCTTCTTGTCGTTCCAGGTGAGATAAAAACAGAGTATAAGGCCCCGTTTATACGACGATTTCAACTGAAAACGGTAAACTTTAGTTGCGTTTTGGCCGATCATTTACATGACAGCGGCGTTTTGGGTGCCTCAAAATGCAACGATTTGAAAACGGGTTCCAGAGTGCAATGTTTTGGAAACAGCAGCGTCTCCGTTGTCATGTAAACTTGCAATATGCAGTTCCTCTGAAAACGGACTTTTCGCACATGTGCATTACGGTTCCAGTCACTAGGCATGCCGACCATCACAGCAACAATGCCGAGCTCTGTTTGTGCTGCTCACCCTGTTGATTTGAAGTAAAGTGTAGATCTGTTACTGTAGCAACTCCACCTCGTCGTCCATCCAGACAAAGTTATCTGTGCATGCTTTCGCCATTGTGTCTTCTTTGTTTTGGTTTGAAATCACGGCATTGTAGAGGAAGGCACTTCAGCGCAGGCACATGGCGTCATGCCATGGTGTTGCTTTGCAAATTTACATTGCCACCCATTGGCCTGGCATGCATACTACAGCGTTCCCAGTAGATGTTGCGGCTCCTTGTGAACAATAATAAAGTTTCAATAACGTCGTCATATAAACGCAGAAGTTTTTTAAAACGCAAAGGACAGACTTTTCCGTTTTTACCGAAATCGTTGTCGTATAAACAGCCCCTAAAAGCATCCTTCATGTTGACTCCACTAAGGTCAGGGCTGCTTGCCTAGTGTGAGGGATTGGACCAGATGGCCTCCCAGCATAGAGCACCAGGACACATGGGAAGACAGTATGCAAAAGGCTTGTATATCCTCTGCTCTTTCTTATTTTACCTGGCTGTTCAATCAACCTGTGCAGAGCCTGGTGCTGGCAGCACATAAAAGAGATGCTGACTGACACTTTATACTTGGTGAACAGGTACGTCAAAGTTGATGAGGTTAAAATGGAGAACAGCTGTTGTTTTCCAGTGAGTTGCAGTCAACACTGTGACATTGTAACCCTGGCAGACCTGACCGGCACCACACTTCCCTGTGTCTATTTCTGAGGCTGGGGGTGCACACAGGGCTAATTTGGCAGGAACATAACGAGCAAATGTGGGTATATGTGGTGGACATTGCAGGCACTCATATCCACGCTAAGTTTCATGCCCCTTCTGATCATCACAGGTAGCTTGGACAGAAGGCTCACACCACAAACAACCATGACGGGGAGAAGAAAAGCGTCTCTGTCCTGAGAAAGCTGGGAAAATATCCCAACCTGTAGCGGATTGTTGTGACACTAATTCTTCTCCACTGGCACTTTTCTCCCAAAGATACTAGGCTAGGGTTGGGTGGGATACTTGAACAAGAGAAATGACCTAACCTTGCCGAAGCCTTCAAGTGGTCATTATGGGAGATGAGAAAAGGAGCATGGTGATTTATTGGATAATTTGAGTCCTTTCTCTGGCTCTGATCTAGACGTCTACTGTGTCTGGGTCTGGAGAAAGGAGTCTTGCTGGCTGTTTGTAGTGTTCCTGTTCCCACATGGATTTGCTGGCACAGTTAAGGCCTGCATTAGGGAACTGGATCAAAGGAGACATAATGGAGCCCACTAAAGGGTAGCATGACCTGGATATATAGCACCAGCAAACTGCAGCCCTCGCTTATTTGTCAGATATATTTATTGACCCTGATTTTCTGTAGGTAGCTACAGCATACACCTGTTAATTGCAATATGCCACACACTTTAACAAAGATAGATAGTGTCCTATAATTTCTCTGAAATTCAGTTCATGGTCCAATTGTGTGTAATTGGTTGTCCCATTATCTGTCCCTTTTGCATACTTTTCTTTAAACTGGGTTGTCTTTCTCTCTGTTTCTCTCTCAGCCTCTGTCTCTATTTTTGCACCTCCCCTCTCTACTGTCTCTTTTTTGTTGTGTGTGTGTGTGTGTGTGTGTGTGTATTGTGCTGAGCTGGCTGTTGTCACTCTGTGATTGTAGATGAGCTCGGTGGTTTTTGCGTTAGTAGCACTCAGAGCTTTTGGTTCTCTTTGGGCCTTGCTGACTCCATGCCTGGTGTCTCACTGAGCGTGTCCACCTGTCCTCAAATTAAGGAATCGCACACACACACCATCACTTGCTCCGTTGCCTACCAAAGAGATGACATCATTGCTAACACACACACATAGACATATGCACACACACACACAAACACACACAGATGGCTGCATGTCGGGGACACAAACACTGACACTCTCTCCATATGGGCAAGTGGGCATTTTGGGCCTCTCAGTCTGTCAAACAGTGTGAGTTGTTTACTGCTTGTCGAGTTGATTAGTACTCAGGCGTGACCGTGGCCTCTAATGCATCATCATATCCTGTTGATGGATAATCTGTTGTCATTTTCAGCCGTAAATAATACTCTGCCTTGTTTCTTCTCATTCAGCTCTGATTGGGTGGAGATCCTGGAGCCACGCTCCCGGGAGCGTATGTATGTGAACTTGACCACTGGTGAGTGCGGCTGGGATCCCCCCTCAGGCGTCCCTGTTCGCCAGGCAGACGGTAACCAGTGGTGGGAGCTGTTTGACCCTCACAGTGGCCGCTTCTACTACTACAACTCTACTGGGCGCCGCACGGTCTGGCATCGACCCCAGGGAGCTGATATAGTGCCTCTATCCCAGCTCCAGGCCATGAGGCGATGCTCTGAGGCCAAGCGGGCTGGGGGGGGTGCGGACAGACACCATCACAGCACCACGGGGAGTATCAGCAGTGTAGGGAGCCAAGGACGCTGCACACCTCTGCCTGAGCAGGACGGAGACAGTCCTGTCCCCAGAACTCCAGAGACCAGTGAGGAGGCTGCCAACCCCGAGGTGGACCCAGCAGTGGACAGCAGATTGCAAGGAGATGGAAGCAGCTCCGAAAACAGCACAGACGGAAGTAAAGACCCACCGAGGTAAGCCCGCCCAAACCTTCAGTAGCCTCTACAGTAAGTCTGGAAAGGGAATTGTGCTTAATCATTAGTTGATCATATTACCGGGAAATGTGATAGCCATCACAACATATGGCACTGTGAGTAGTAATGACTTTCAAATGCTTCTGCTATGAGAACTCGCAGGATTATTTTGACTTTTGACCGCTCAGGCCGAACCCAAACTGCCTTTTTATTTTCATTCTGACTTATCTGAACATTCCATATGTCCCATGTTTCCATACTATTGCCTGTGAACCATGCTCAGCCATTTCAGCAAATCGCTACCAAATGGGGAGAACGGTCAGTTATACTGCAGAGCACGACACCCAACCCCCCTTAACGCTAGGGTTACTGGTGCAGAACGGCCCCTAACAGTAAGTCATTCAGAGACCCCATCATGTGCTCGACGTTGTGGCCTCGTCCAAACCACCGTCTCTTCCCTCCAAGCCAGATTCCAGACATGCCACTTCTGTTTCCCCTGGCGCAGGGCCACTGAGTCCGTCTTAGTGTCCTTCTGTGTGCTCACCACCACCACCACCACCCTGCTCCACTCTGCTCCAATGCTCATTTAATTTTCCTAAAACAAATCTCGGCCCCAGGCCATCAAAGGCTGTAACACCCCGAATGGGTGAGAGTTTAAATGTGCATGCATGAGAGGCATGTGAGAGAGTGTTGTCTGTGGTTAATAACAAGCAGAACCGCTACATTCCAGCTGCATATAAACAAGGCGAACCCTGCTGGCTTTCAGAGGCTATACCATGGCGACTCTTGCTCTCCGCTTCATCCTGGCTCTTCTTTTTCCTCACCTTGGCCATTAGGAGGTCTCTTCTCTGACCCTCTGGTCCTTTGGGATCACGTAGAGGTGGAGGGGGAACTAATTGGTCAGCAATGGCTGTTGAATGACACGACTGGAGGCCTCGTTGCATTGCCTCTGGTGTGTATGGGGAGTGTCAAAACCCCCCACAGGGTCCCACTATGCCCCAGTGATTCAACCTCTCCCAGAGCATTTTCTGTCTCCACTTAAAACAATGGCCAGCTGTGTTTCTCAAAGGCTGAAGAGTCTTTAGCCTACAGAGGCTTGATACCCTAGTTAGCCATATGGCCCTTCACATGCTCTCCAGCCTCCATCTTTTAACAGGTAATTAGAAACCACCACAAAATGCGCAGAGACGGTGGAATGTGACAGCTCAAAATGGATGAAAACAAACTCTGAGACATTCTTGTCATCGGTTAGTTAACCGCATTATTGATAATGACAAGGATCAATGGGTAAAAGAAGCGAGGGAGAAAGTTTAAATGAAGGGTCACAGTGGTTTGAGGTTAGCTAATTGCTCTGTCCCACCCAGACCAGAGGAGTGTTAGGGACTTTCATGAGAGCATAGTCCTCTTCCTTATTTTGATCATACTACTTCTGGTCAAAACCTTTTTTAGGTTCCATCGAGTAATGGGGTATTTCATTGTTTAAAGTTCCTCAATGTTTGGTTCAAATGTCTGAGCTATTTTAGACATGTCCTTACATGTTCTTTTCTACTTCCTTTTTTTTCTTTGTGAAATTTCAACAGAGATGAAATGTTAATAATTTATGACCTTTGAAAAACAAAGCTGTTCTTTGTGGAGATGGGACAATCCCAGTTCTTCCAGCACCAGTTTCCTTTTGTTTCAAGCTATTAATATAAATCTGTTCATAATAGATAGAAGAGTTCCCAAAGTTTCCACACCACACACCCTGTGTGTTATTCTAAGCAGCAGCGGTTAGTTGATGCTGCTTCCTTTCGCTGTCTGTTTCTCCTTGTCTTTATAAAGCTCACATCTATGTTCGTGCTTATAGAGGCATAGTTGTGGGTCGACTTGAGTGCCAAATCTGTTACTCATTGGCCAAGTCTTATCACATGTACTGGGAATTTCTGGGTACTTTGGGCCTGTGGAGCTCATCAGGGAAATACCGTGGTCTCTAGAGGTAAACATGTCAGTCACATGTGGTTACATGCACAGGAAACTGAAACAAACTGATCTCTTTCCATGATGTAGGACCTATAGGTGTTACAGATCAACTAGCTTATAACATCTGTATTGAATTTCACCCACCTTCCAGTGTGTGTGTCTGTGTGTTGTGGTCATCAACCAGATAACATCTGCATGGGATTTCACCGTAGATGGTGTGTGATCCGTGCATATGCCCATCTTCACTGTGTGTGGGCTCCACACTGCTGAGCTTACAAGTTACAGCAGACCTGCTGAGGTTGAGTGGATGTTAAAAGTCTGATGAGGACACATGGCAGCAGGGTGTAAGACAACCCAGAAGTGACCCAAGGTGGTTCACATCAGGGTCACAGCAGTCTTTTTGTCTTATGAGCTGGACCAGGGGCGTATAATGGACCACTAAAAGGAACAAAGGCTGTCACTTATACCCAGTTGTCCCCCAGGGTCAACGGAGAGCTTTCTCTAAGCAGGAAGTCTACGTATGCTGAATGGAGAACACCAAATGGCTTGTATGTTCCCTCTCATTTAGGCCTGTAATGATATAGTGGTGCACCAGCATTCAATCTAAGGCAGTCACACTGACATTAGACACATAAAACTCGCTTTTCCTGATTGTTGACTGGCCTTTAAAAAGATTCAGTAAACGCAGAGTTGAGTATCTAAACGTCTTCTCTGTCTGGGTTGTTTCATTGTTTATATGTTTGTGCCTGTACCAAAGTTGAATCAGTTTTTACATATTAAAGGAGGACACAATAGCTGGCTTTGTAAGCATGTGCAACAAGTTTAGTTCAAATTTTAGCGGTTTAATTTTAGTCTGACTTTAAGGAACCCGAAGGACAAACGTAGAAACCTCCCCCCAAAGGTGACAAGTGTCTGAACGTTTAAAAAACAGAACTGGAAACATTTTGTCTCAGTTTTATTTTCTATTTTGGGGAAGTTTGCAGAGACATTTTTAAAAATGAAATACGGGCATGAAAGCAAAAGTAAAATCAAAACAAAAGATCAAATCAAAATCAAAAGCTTCTCCTCATGCACTCGAGACTGTCTGGCTGTGAGTCATGTAGGAGAAATCACCACCGGGTTTATTTAGGAAACAAGGGGGCATCTTATGGGGTTGATAAAGTTTTTAAGTTTTTAATGAGTCGCACATTGTCTGCATGTTTACTGCGAGAGCACAAGCCTCTCATGCTTTTCATCTCCCGCCACGCTGAGGACGTAGCCACAAAATCTTTACGCACACTGGAAAGACATGTTTCATCTCTGCTCTCCCGGTGTGGTAAGCTCATTTTCAGCTCTTTCCAGATGGTGTTTTAAGTGTGCCTATTTTTTTTTTTCTTTTCTTTTCTTTGCGAAAAAGTTGTACTTTGGACTTGAGATCTGGTTATGTGCCTCAGTGCTTTGGTCTGGTTAACAGTGACAATGTCCATATTTTGTTTTATCTCTGCGCTGTTTCCCTACACACTCCATGTTTCACATAATTGAAACTATAGTATTCTCAAGACCTAGAGAGCTACAGTTTTATGTGTCTCATTGAAGCAGCGTAAAACCATTGAAATTCTGCTTTTACAGTTAACTTCTCGACCTGGTTCTGTGCTGCAGTATAATATCTCCAGGGTTTTCATGAAGAACCAGTGTCACCACATGTGAACTGGCCTCAGGCATGCTGCTCTGACTGCTTCACCTCGTGTCTAGACCGCAAGCGTATCAGACACGTTTTCACTCGCACTTCTCACGCAATAGATTTGCTTTCATTTTGAGCTCACGTCTCAGCTGTGTCTCATGGGCGTAAATGCGACATGACATTTATTTATGTTTCAAGTCTATGTTAATTGCAAGGTTGATGGGGAATATAAAGGCACTGAATAAATGTGTTTATCCATGTTTTGTAACCCAGGTGGAGCAGTGGTGTCTCTGGACAGAGCCAAAGAGCAGCGTGCTCTGCTCCAGTTTCCCACAGACTCTCTCTTTGCCAGTGCCTCGCAGCTGGGAGGCAAGGCACAGGGATGTGGTATTGAGGAGTTGTAGTGTATTTATGGGCAAACTGTAATCTACACTGTACATTTACTGCCACTACTGCACATAAAATTTGGCTGCTCCTTCGCTGCTTGGCGCTTAAAAAAGTCTTGTATAAGACAGAACCAGTATACCAGCTTCATTGTACCGTGAATGTTGTTGTTACATGAGCCTGATGCTGAGGTGACACTTGTGGTCTAAACACGGGGTCAGCTGACTCGCAGCATGCAGAGATAGTATTTTTCTGGGTGTTTACGGGTTTTCCACTCACACCCGTTTCTAATGAGACATTATTGGTTGTTACCACATGCTGCTCTTTTGTGTCCCTGATCATATCTCTGAGATTTGGGACTGACTGAAACAGGCTTTTTGAATGTGTGTGAAGAGGACGCAGCCAAACAGTGTTCTCATGGGACCTGCCCTCGCAAAAAGAGTGGCAGATATTCTTTTTCAAATTCCAGAGGCGGGTCTCACTGGAATCCAGTTGGGTTTGGCCGCATCCCGTCTGTCCCTACAACATGATCCTAGTGGCTGTCCTCTGGCCCAGCCCAGTACTTCTCATGGGGTCGGGCTGTGGGAGCCACAGACATGCACAACTGGTAGACATCTTGGCTCAGAGGAGGGAGGTGCGTCAGTTCAGCTGTTGCAGGACAGCTGGCCCTCTGGAGGTGCCTGACAGGAACTGGGGGCCTGCCAGCTCTGCCTCAAATTTTATTCCTCTGCTTGATATTTTTTGTGATCGATTGTTCAAAAGTGAGAAGAAAAAACAGTTGTGAATGTTGGCGTAATGGATACAACATTGTCCTCGGTGAATCCTCTTTGTCTTTTTGGTTTCCTTCCTCTATGTGTATCGCACTGATCTCATTGGTTTGTGCTCTGAGGTGTTTGTGCAGCAGAAGCTTGGCCTGTGCGACCTCATTTCCTCTTCCTGTCCAGCCAATGTTAATAATAACCCCTGTTTTTCAGACCCCTCTATTCCCAGGGGGTATATTTAGGAGCCTCCAAATCCATATCCCTACCCGCCAAAGTGACTCAGCTGATGGCTTTTCCAACAACAGTTATTCCAAGCTGGAAAGAAAGGAGAGACCAAACATCTGCTGACAGCAGAGTCACCGTAGTATATTTAGTTGGTTATTGAGACGACCTGACCACAGCAACATTAAGAACAGTGACAGAGGTATCTGAGACTGTATGTGGGTGAAAGACACCAGAGCTGCTGAGACTAATTGAAATTTGCTGACTGTTAAGTTGATTTGCTGCCCCGGAGGCCAATCAGATTACCCTGTTGGTTTCCAAAGGGCCTCTAACTTCATTTTATCTTACATTTCTCTGTCTTCCTAAAGGTCTCACATGCTTGCTCCAGGCTCTGAATGAAGGGGTTTGTACAAGTGCATATGTGAGCCTAGATACGTGCATGCACATGCACTCTGTGTGTCTAGTCATGCGTTCTTAAGAAATAGTTGAAATGGAGATTATCGTTTTGCAAACAGCGAGGGATTTGGAAAAATTTTGAGTTTTTTTTACACTGAGAATGATAATTATCATGTCTCCTTTAACCTCTGTGATAAATTGCTGTGTATAATCCCCACCTTCAGCTAACATTCAACACCTGACAGGCAGGCTACTAGCAGGCAACACACCCTTTCCAAACAACTTTCATTATAGAGTAAAGTTCGGGCCTGTTCACGGTTACGTAAGAGCCTGTCTAACTATGGAAGTTGAAGATGGCTCTTTCAGGTTCAGCCTCTTCCCTGTCATCTTTCTCTTCCCCCTACTCACACTCCATTGCTGTCGTTAAGGGAGGCATCTCCGTGACGATGGCACAGCCATTCATTGTGTAAGGCTCCCCACACTGCCACAGAGGCCCCTGAATGAGCCCTGAGGAATGCCAGTCTTCCCGCTCATTCCCTTGCTGCACTCTCCCACGACTAATCCCCACCCCTTCTCATTTACACATGCTCACACCCTCCTCTCTTGTCTCTCTAGCTCTGTTCTCCTTCACCCCCCCAACTACCCACCCCCACATATCATCTCTCCACACTAGGCCTGTTGTATTTTCTCACCATTGTACTGTCTTTTGGTTCAGGGTTTGTAATCATACTTCATTTAGTTGACCAGAGGTTTACTGATATGCAGTGTTGTTCTAGCTGTGTAATGGGATTAGAGACTTTGGATAGAGATCGAAGACACTGTAAAGCTTTACTGTTGGAGTTGGCTCCCGGCCGCCATGCGATCGCGGTGATCATCGCACCCAACTCCCTGCTGACATCCAACATAATATGCCAGTGCTGGAGGGGGTGAACATGCTAGACGTTTGCTGAGCCTGAGTGGGACAATGGCAGTCAGACAACAGAGACAAAGCCTGACAAAATCCCTCTCTCCCAACACTGTGAGCTGAACTTCTCACAGGCCTCCGAATGTGTTCAGTTTCAGGCTACATCCACACGAATTAATTTCTGTTATAATACGTTGCTGTGTTTACCCCTAAAACACAGACTTTTGAAAATGCTGCTGATCCCATTTTTTTGTTTGAAAACTCTGTGGTTGCATTTTTGTGTGGACGGGCAGAAATGGAGACTTTTGAACACGATTTCACAGACACCCACAATGTGTCATGTGATATATGTTTTCAGGCGTGTTAGAAGGAGATTATTTCTAAAACACTTGTGTGTATAGAGATAGTCTTCGTTTTTAAAAGGTTGTTTTAAAATGAAAACGTAGTGTGGATGTGGCCTCAGTCCCAGAAAAATAGTTTTTATTTATTGTTGCTACTGAACTTATCACAGGACAGGAAGGAATAGTATAGAAGCATGCAGTGTTGTGTTTTGGGATATTGATGTTTAGCCTTTAATCTGTTAAATCCCAAGAATACTTTGACTGGTTATATTTGTTGGTTTATAGGTTAATTTTGCCACTCTTCACTTTACTGCACTGCATACCACTCGGGTCTGGTGGGAGCTAACTAGCGGTGTCACTCATTCAGCGATTGTTAACAACTCTTAGGTCTGTTAGCATCATTAGCAGTGTCAGGCCAGCTAGTGGTGCTAACATAGTTACCAATACTAAAGGGGATTTGTTGCTCAATGTGAAGCTGTTTACTCACTGGGGCCACCTGGTGGAAGACCTGAGGGTGGCCATCATGTGTCTGCAGCAGCGCTGCCCCACCAACATCAGTGGAGCACCAGACTAAAAGGAGAGGCCTCCTGTATGCCACATCATTTTGCGTATTAATTCTTAGAGATTAACCAGTTAGTTACAAGTTAATGGGTGTCAGGCTATCAGAAGCAAAATTAACCGAAATTGACATCCCTATTTGTCTTCTTTGGACATGAAGATGGAGCCTCTAAGGGACCGGAGTCCAAGGATATAGAATTTCCCATGTATGATGTGAAACATTTTGTAAAGCTGTACATAAGCTCCCTATAATTAAGATTCAGGCCATACTTCCGCCCTGAAAGCAGTGTGTGAACATTACCTTCGGCATTTCCTGTTTGTGTTACACATGGGGAAGCCCTCTCTACAACCCTCCAGAGGACCTCCTCATACAGGAAGTAGTGGTCACTATGATCTCAGGGTCAGTCCTCATAAAGTACGTCACCCACCCACCCAGAAGATAGAAGCCAGATCCGTGTTTTCTTTCACAGTTGGCCATCACATGAACCCTGGATTGTTTTATGTGTGAAACAACAAGGTTTGATTTGTTTGTGTATAATGAAAGTGGAATTTGATTATTGTGGTTTTATGTGTGAGGTCCGCTGTGTTCTTTGGCCGTCTCATTATAAGAAAAGCCTTGATGTCTCATGTGTGAGCTTTTCCTGCTGTAGCAAACCGGTGCTAAATGGTCAGCTGCTGAGGTGGGAATGATTTTGTATCATTGGTATCACCTCCTCCTGTTTGACAGGACAAGAGTGAGAAAACATACACTGTTTCAAAGAGTGCAAACAGTGGCTTCTCATGTTTACAGCTGTCACCCAACAACACCCCACACCCCCCACCCTGTGTAACACACTCACACATGCTTGCAACAACTAAACAGTGGTGGTTTCGGGTGAATCCCATCCATCAGAGCCTCTTGTCTTCACACGTGTCTGTCTGAGTGAGTGTGTGTGTGTTACGTGTTATTTAGGCAGTAAACTTCCTTCATTGGTCTGAGTGAGGTGGGGGCCTTGTAGCATTCCCAACAACAGTGATTGTGGCAGGCTGAGTTGGTGCTGTGCCAGGTGGCTGAGATCCAGCTGTTTATAGGCTCTGCCTGGCCTGGATGGTGATCTGTGGGACCGTTTGAAGATGAGAGCCTGTTTACATTCAAACCTCTGAGGTGCTGTGACTCACTGTAGACGGGGGTGGCACAAGGTCCTGAGAGAGAGAGAGAGAGAGAGAGAGAGAGAGAATGAGCTGTAGCTTGGAGGACTAAAGGAAGTTTGCCGTTGGCTGGAGGACCTCAGGGGAATTGTTTCAGCATTGTTCCACAGAGATGTGGGGAGGAGAGGGGGGGTCACTCCGCCTCTTTCCTCCTCCTTCTGCGTCCTCTTAATGCTGTTACAGCCCAACTCTCGACTAAAAACTCCTAATGCTCTTGGAACAGGGAAGCCTTTGAACACTTGCTCAGGCTCTACCCTGATCTGTGTTTATGTTTGGATTTATGAGGACAGAAGGTGATCCAATTTGATCTAATTAATTAACCCAGTGAATCCTAAGAGGAGGTTGGCGGGAGGGAAGGTAAGTCTCCTTTGCCTGCCTTCAAACTTACTTACCTGCTTGACCTTTGATTAAGGGAGAAACCTACTAAGCTTGTATATGCTGTACTGCGTCACATGTGTCCTACTCAGGCCAGCCGCCAACTGTGTCCATGCGTGTATGCGCAATAATGCCTGCTTTAGACACACTCAGTGGTTTAAGAGGGCAAGTTTTTGATCAGTCAAGGAATGAAAAGTCCTGATTGCGGTGGAAGATTATGAGGGGACAGCAGAGTGGAGGGCAGCAGACCAGAGCAGCGTGACCAGATTGATGGCAGATTGTTTTAGGTTGCTGGGATTATCAGTGGGCCATTGGGTTTGAAGTTAGCCCAGCCGCTCAACCAAAAGGAGAAGAATTAACCTTTGGACCCGAGTGAAGATATTCTCAGCCGTGAACTACTGCAATCCTGACTTCTCTCAGAGCAACCTCTTTTCATGTGGCCTCCTGCTTTACTGTTCAAATGTTCACTCGTTGATTCAGATGGCAGACATTACTGCCATGTGATAGTCGTATGAAACTAGCATTAGCTGCTTCACAGACATACATCTACTGGCAATTATTTTCTATAATGTTACCCTATGCATTCCCCAGACATGTTGGAAATCTGGATGCGTTCAGTGAGATGTGTAATCTGTAATTTTAGGCACTTTACACAACACACACTGGAGTTATTGTCTCATGGGTTTGACAAGGCCATTATGACTGCCAGACTAAAAATGGAGCAGAGTCTTTAGAGGTCAGTGAAATGTTTGGAGAGGAATTTGTGGATTGCTGCTGATTTTCCCAGCCCTGTCAGCTTTGGATTTTTTAGAATAGATGAAATATAGTTAAAGGCTTTATGCCTGTGTATGATTGTATGTGATCATAATCATTTTATGGCACTCGCACCCTCTGTTGACTTATGGATGTTTATTTAGACTTTTATATACTTTGTTGCTTTGAATCTCATTCGACTTATATTTTCTCCCTTTTAGGGATGCTTCTCAAAGATGGCAGCCTGCACCTGGTTCTAAGGCAGCCATGTTGGTGAAGGTGAACAGCATGAGCCGTAGCCAGCCCATCCCAGCCTTGCAGCAGCAGCAGCACCTCCAACACAGTGCAACCAGCAAATCCAGCACCTTCACCCTGCACCCCTCTGGCAACAAGGCCCAAGGAGGACACTTAAGCTCTACCCAGGGATATAAAACTGCCCCTTCTGGCAAAATGGCAGCTGACACACGTCAGGCCCATCACCTGAGAAAAGCCAGTAACGGCAGCTTCTGTTTAGTTCCATCAGATGGTAGCCATCCCAGTCCGCTCCTTCACAGGTCACAGACCAGTACACCATGCCCTATCTCTCCCCAGTATGGTTGCACTGCCCCAATCTATGATGAGCCAGTTTCAGAATGTCCCATATATGATGAACCCCCAACAGACATGGAGGTAGAGGGGGCCCACCTGTACAACGGACAACCTCTTTCTCGCCTGACACCTACCCATAGCCTCCAAAAACCCAGACACCTCCAGCACCCTGGTTCATCTCATCCAGGGTCCAGACACAGGAGAAATCCCTCATCCTCTGACTACAGCCCAGCTGGTCTGGAGTGCATCAAACACATGATCAAAGTTGACCCCAAACAGGGGCTTGTATCTAGCTCTCCTGTACCCACACGCACCCCTTCCCCTACATCCAGACAGGATCCTGTCTTGACCCAGCCTCAGCCACATCCCCAGCCCCAGGCCCACTCTCTGCCCCAGGCTCGAGGCCAGTTAAGGGACAGAGAGCCAGGAACCCCAGGCCCAAGTACACTGGACAAAAAGCAAACCTGGCGGGTCCTTGAGGCCACTGTCCAGCGCGCCATGGAGGCACGACACAGCAGGCAAAGCAGCCAGGCCTCGCAGGACTTCCCTTCATCGACCCCACAGGCCACAGCAAACTATCAAGACTCTGGCTACTCCACCGGCCCCTCCCCAAGTCTGAGAAGAAAGAGCAGGAGGAGGGTGGGAGCCGGTGGCGGTGCAGGAGGCAGGCCGGGGTCAGTGGGCAGCAGCGGGGAGCTCTGCGCCCTTAACGAGAGGCTCATGGCCGAGATGCGGGAGGTAGTGAGTCGCTCCAACACCATGAGGGAGGTAAGAGCGGGGCTGGACCCAGAGATGGGGGAGAGGGTTGTCGTACCTCGGACGCGCTCTCCTGCAGACTCACTCAGGTGGTATGGAGGAGGGGGGTCAGCAGCGGGCAGGTGCGCTTCTGGAGAGGAACTCACCGGGGCTCCCCGGTCACTGAGTAGGGCAGGTAACCATGGCAACCCTGCGCTTACCCCTCTGGAGATACCAGGGAGGCAGAAAAGGACCTATGAAAAGGTGGACACCTTGGAGATGAGTGTGAATAGCCAAGCCAGTCTGTCCTCACCAGAGACCCCAGGACCGCCCTCCCAGGTAACCCCACCCCCATGTTTTGTATATGTATGTTTGCGTTTGTGTGGGTGTGTGTGTGTGTTTGTGTGTGTGGCAAACTAACAAAATAAATTGTTATTAACAAAGCAGACATTGTAATAGAATATATGGTTACTATTCCAGTATTATGATACTTTCTTGTCTGATTAAGAGCTCAGCTGTGTGTGGGTTATTGTGTGGTCTGTTTACCTTAACACGTTTGTTTGGATGCAACTTTGTTTTGTCTGGAAGTGGTCTGATTGCTGATATCTCTCCAGATTCACCATCAGATTAGAGAAGAATTCAGTCTGACAGTGTCAAAAGAGGCCGAGTCATTCCTTAACATAGTATCTGTGCACTATGAGAATTTTTAGCTGCTGCTTTTGTATTGTTTAGTGTGTCTAGTCCTCAGAACTATAAGTGGAAGAATGGACAGATTGTGTCACTGAGCAGAAATATTCCACTATTGGGGCAGATCAGACAACACTAATAATTTGGTTATTTTTTGACTTTGCAGAGCACTAAAATACAAAGAGACACATGTGGAGGAACTGTGACAGTGGCTTATCTTGCCTTCAAGGGTCCTTACAAAATATGCACATGATCAAAGATGAAAGAACTATTTGACTTCTCAAAACAGTTATATAAGTAGCAGCATGTGGAGCCAGTTCCAAGATCTGCTACGTCTAATCTCCAAATCCCCTCATGCAACAGAATCACACCCCATACCTCCATACATTATAGTGCTGTTTTCAGAAGCAGTCCCACTGGACCTCTGCAACTAAAAAATGAATGTTTGAGTCAACACAGAGCTGTGGGATGAAAACAGTAGAGCTAATCTGTCTCTTTGAAAAAGAACACAGAGCATTTTGTGAGTAATGCCTTTAACATTCCAATCTTGAGTGCCTAAATGTCCCCAGGACATTAGGCAGTGGGCAGGCTGGGCACGGCTGACTGTAATGGCCTCAGTCCCAGCATTACCTGTCATCCTCTTACCACCGTCCATCTGCCCTGCACTGCAGGTGCTGTATACTCATATGCCAGCTCTTTGCTTGGGCATCTGGGGCCCATGCCAGGCCAGAGAGATTCAGGACATGGCTTCCCTCAGTCAGGAAGGAGGGCCGCTGTGGCCCATATGGCCCAGGCTTGGCAGGGAGATGAGGAAGAGGAAAAGGAGGAGGCAGGCTGGTACCAAGGCGTATTGGTACCACTGTAGTTTAAGCATGTTAGACATCAGCCAAAGAGCACTGAGCGGGCCCCCTAAGTCTGTCCTGGAATGTTCTTCAGACCTGCTGTTATATCACTCACACACACACATTATGGCTTGTGATGTATTTGCAGCTCTATAATTCCATATTTGAACATTATGTTCTTGCTGAAAGACCTTTACCAGCTTGTTCAAAGGGTGCACAGAAAGTGTCCATTTCCACAAAATCCATGAATAATTTATGTTTTCAAAGTTGAGAGTAGTTCCCAAAGTTACACTGTTGCGTTTCAGTCCGTAGTATGACTAAATGACCATCCTGTGCTGCTGCATCTGTAAGCTATCTGTACAACAGTGTAATTTACTGAAAGTAGAAGTTGTACATTCCCGTTCCCTAGTTAAACATGTGCTTTGTTGCATTTGATCTTCTGTAGTTGACCTCTGTCGCCCATTTAAAAAAAAACATCAACTCTGCACGACCGTATAAACCTTCTGCCAAAGCCAAACCTCACATCTGCTGCATCTGATTGAGAAACCAAAATGCGAAGTCCAGACGTGAGCTCCACATTACATCAGGGTCTCATTGAAAAGACATGTCAATGCGTTTCATGTTCCATTAGTAAATTTGAGCTTTGATTCTGGCACAGGTTTGGTGTTGTTCCTGGCTGTTTGCAGAGCATAGCTTGGTTACTGGCTTTCTCTATTAAGGGAGGTGAAGTGCTCCTTATGGTCATAAACTCCACCGCAGGGATCAGTGGGAGGTCCAGAGCATAGCTTTGGTTTCGCAGGGTAGATGAGCCCAGGGCGGGAAGGGGCAGGAGTAAGGACTTCTACGCCACTATCTGGTCACCTGCTCCTGAGGTAGGGGTTCACAAGTTTTTTTTTTCTGGTACAATTTTTTTTGGCATCAGGAAATGAATGTGCCGCTCCTGCAACAACTCCCCCTCGAGCCCCAGCGCTGCAGAGCAGAGCACAGTAGGCGGAAGGCAGCACAGCTCCTAGTGTGACACAGTGAGGACTCTGCAGCTGCACACACACAGTTTTGTACCTCTGCTGCACTCTTGCCTCACCCCCCTCTGTGTCTTCTATCCGCCTTCCTCCTCCTCCTCCTCTGTACAGCTCTGCTCCTCTTTCTCATGTCCACCTCTTGTCTTCCTGCAGGCGGGCACCCTAGAACTGCAGGCTCAGTTGGAGAGCAGGAAGAAAGGCATGGTGGATGGGCGGACCGCCTCCCTGGGCCCTCACCGCCCTGCCAACCATGACAACAGAGAGGGAGCTGATGGGGCAGGAGGAAGAGCACGTGGATCGTCCTACCAGCTCTCCTACGCCACCCTGCGGCAGCCCCCACCTCCTGACATGGGTATGGAGGACTGGGCCAGCAAACACCTTAACATGCACACGCAAGGCCTGTTCCGCCGCCGCGTCTCTATCGCCAACATGCTGTCGTGGAACCGCGGATCCATCAAAAAACCCATGCTAGTCACCAGCAACCGTGCCGTCAGGAAGGAGGCCTGCGAGATGTTCAAACTGGTGCAGGCCTACATGGGAGACAGGCCCTCGCGCCTGGACCGCCGTCACTGTGCCCTGCTCATTGTCACCAAGTGCTGGGACATGCCAGGGCTGCGGGATGAGCTGTATGTGCAGCTGGTGAGGCAGACCACAGGCAACGCCACCCCTAGAAGCTTGGCGGCAGGCTGGGAGCTGATGGCAGTCAGCTTGGCGTTCTTTGCCCCCTCGCCCAAGTTCCGCTGCTACCTGGAAGGCTACATCCAGAGACACACGGAGCCCACCAGCGACAAGAAATGTGAGTCTCAGAGTGAGCAGCAGGGTGGGTCACCTTTCTTTCTTCTGTACCTCCCTGTGTTGTGTGATAGTTAGCTTTGTTAATGTAGACCAGAGAGATGTTTCACATTTCTAAATCGCATTTTCTTCCCTTTGTATTTTCCGTTTGGAATCATAATTTAATTTAGTCAGTATGATCAGGCTAGAAAGCACAGTATTGTTTTTGATAAGCCCAATAATCTGATTGTCGGCCTTGAGTTTATCTAATTGACTGTCAGAAGACTTGACCTTTGCTGTCTTGTGTTTCATAGTGACTCAGTTCATATTGGAACAGCAGGAGCTTAAGCTGAAGAAGAATTCAAAGTCCAGAAAGAAGCGCAAACAGAATACAGATGAGGAAGAAGGTAAATCTTTGTTCATTTACTTGTACATCTGTCCAAAACATCACTTCAAGAACATTGGATCTTCAGTATTTCCCATTAGTACCTAGCGTATCTGTTTGACAGAGCACAGTGTCGGCAGGGGAGGGAGCCCCAAAGATGTTTTTCTACTCTCTTCAAAAGCTGTCTGGAGTCTAAGCCGTGCAAGCCATTACAACTCTAACATATCGCTCCCTGTAGAGTGACCCCTCTTGAGTGGGATGGAAAATTCAGTACTGTGCAGTTTGTCAGAGGAGTACATGTTGATGTGCTTGCAGGCACAATGAATGGGTTTCACAGAAAGTCAAGCTGAAAAAAAATATGTAGGATGAGAATCTCAGAATGTTCTGTACGCGTACAATGGACCACGCTGTGAATCATATTAGCGGTCTGTCTTGCCACTTGCATGTCAAACAGCCATTTAAGGGGATACCTACTCATCAGCACGCGCCCTCATTAGAGCAGCCCACACTGCCAGCTCGGGCGATGAAGTCACCAGAGAGGAACCCAATCGTCTCACAGTAGACACCACAGCGGTGGCCTCACACATTGTGCTTCAGTGACTCAGACCCCAACTGACTAAAAGGTCGAAGCCTACTGAACGTTTCTGACTAAGTCTGAAGGTCTTTACAGAGGGGGATTCTTGATGAAAGCCAGCAAGAAAACAAAAGTCTCACATGTACAAAAACAGCATCATGAGAGCTGTTGTTTGCTTGATGAATGGAGGAGCAGGGACACTCACACTGTGTCTGACCAGAGTAATGAGCAGCTGTGAGCAGCAGGAGTAGGAGTCGCACGTGGGAACCGGAGGTCTCTTTTCAGGCCAGGCCTGATCTGGACTTGGAAATTGACTTCTTTGGGCTCGGGGCCCAGGCGAGTGTTGTTTTCAGCCAGCACTTGGATTAGTGTAGACTCATAAACAATACCCAAGATGAGACTGAAGTTGTCTCCTCGACATCCACTAATGCAGCGATTGTCAACTGGCTCCCTGCAGGCCACATACGGTCCACCAAAGCTTCCCATCTGGCCCGCAGAATATTTTTGAATTCAGAAAATGTGAGGAGGCAAAAAAATGCATTCTGATATTTAGGATTTCTAGCATTTTTTTTTTTTGCTCCCTGTAACAAAGTAATACCAAAAACAGATGAAATGGAAATAATTCTAATCTGGAGGGATTTACCAATCCTAAATATATGCGCTCAACCTGCAGGTACTAAGACTTTTTAAATCCATCTGTCAACTTATGTTAAGCAAGTAGCCTGCAGTAGAAAGAACAATATGATGACAAAATGTGATATGTGATAACGTTGTCGTAACCTGCACAACCTGATGCAGTATTCAGGCCTACCTCACTGACAAAGCTCTGCTTGCTTCGCTGTTTGTTTACTGACTAGCAATAGTCTAGGATCAGTGGAGCGAAAAGGAATTCTGTCTGTCAGAAATGTAAAGCAGCTTATGCCGTATCTTCATGTGCGAGCAGGGCCAAACTCATATTTGCATTCAAAGGTCCTGTGTAGGATTTGCGGCATCCAGCGTTGAGGATGCAGACTGTGTGTAGGAGAACAAGGGTGGCCGACTTAAAAACATGAATGGCCCTATCTAGAGTCAGTGGTTTGTGTGTCCGCTCTGGGCCACTGTAGAACAACATGGCAACCTACGTGGAAGAGAGCCCGCCCTACATGTAGATATAAACGGCCCCTTCTAAGGTTACAAAGATGCAATGATTCTTACTTTCAGGAGCTTATAAACTAATAAAAATGTAACAGTAATTTCCATTTCTGGCAAAAAGAGGCCCCTAAATCCTACACACTGGACCTTTTAACATTTAATTTTGTTACATTTAGGAGTCTGCTCACACTGATAAGGCTAATGAAATAACATTTATTTTGTAAGAAAGTAAAAATATTAAACAATGATAGACTAATTAGGCCTAAATGATTAAAAATACATATATTTGAAAGTCTGGCCCCCGCAGTGTCTCCTTAGAAAAATTCTGGTCCTTTTACAAATGTAGTCGACCCCTGCTCTAATGGCTCTGGTGTTTGTTGTCAAATTTAGCTTCAGCGCATGTGTAGACAGGTGTCATGCCGTTCTCAATCTTGTACAGTACACTCAAGCTCCTAATGAGCTCGTATATCTCCTGGGTTTTGGTTGCCTGGTTGTTGTTTTCATTGCATCAAACCTGATGTAAATATAGACCCACAGTCGGGTTTAAACGCTTCCTCGCTGCAGCAAAAGGGCTCTGCACTCTCGCTTTTTGTGCTAGCGTGTGTACAGCCTCTATGTTGTGAGCCCTGGGAAACATAGCTGGTCTTTGCCAAGATCAAGGGCAAATTATTGGTATGATCTCTCTAATTAGACGTAATTACAGTTGAACTTGGTCAGATTAGCAGCAGTTGTAAGCGTGCATGGGAGTCACCTGTTTGTCATAAATCTGGGGGCTTTGACTGTACACTAGAACGTGTTTGCTACTTTTTAAAAACCCCGCTGCGGGTTTGTCCATCTGGCCGTGGTTCAGGTAGCTGATTGACTGACTGTGGAGACTCTGGGAATGGGAATAGACCCCCTGAGAGCTCAGTGTTTAGTGTAAACCAGAGTTACCACAGCAATGCAAGATGGGGGTGATTTCTTTTCATGAGTGCACATGATGACACAAAAAAATTTTTTTTTTTTTATTTTTTTTAGTTGTGTGAGAACAAGTGTACAGAAGTTTTGAAATTTTTAGGGACAGATTAGGTTCTTCTGTAGCGTGTGTCTCTTGAAGAACATCTCACCTCGGTACAACAGCACTGTGTTATTTTAACGCAGTTAACTTCCGAAATAGATCTGGGCCCTACAGTAGCTACTTAGGGCAAGTAGCAGACAGGGAGCCTCTGTATTTCTCTTTCTATCCAGAGCCCTTCATGTCTGTGTACGCAGATGAATCACCTGAACGCTGGATGTGTAGGCCGGATCCTGTCTCTAAAGCTTTTGTTCAACAGCAGTAAATCTTCCCTCAGCCTGACAGTTTAGCCGGGCCTGCTCTAATCCCCATATGCCAGAATCACACCGTCAACATGTCTCTCCAATTACAACTGCCTGCCTTTCATATGCTATTTGACATCTGTGGGAAAAAAAACACTGTTTGTCCTTTTTGTGGGAAAGAATTTAAATCATTTATTATTTTGTGTGTTCAGTAATGCCCGACGCTTTAAGGGTTTTACACGGGGACTTTGAGGACATAACAAGGATGTGCATAGTGTTTCTCGTGGAGTCAAGTCTGAATTTCCCTCTTGTGTCAACCCACAGGTCTGCCTATCAGCACATATGCCAAGTTCTGCCATCGGAAACTGCAGAAAGTGGCGATCACTGGAGGCAAAAAGGTAAGCTAAAAAAAACAGGTCACTTCCACATGATAAAAATAGGACCTATCAGTTTGAAAACTGTGACTTGCATCTGAGTCATCCCAGATACCATCACAGTGAGCGAGACATAATTACAGGCACACTGACAGTCACAGGTAGAGACATAAACACAGATCCAGTCATAGTAGCACAGCTGCAGACACAACCTTGATTAGTATCATAGTCCCTGACATACATAGGTAGTAAATCTTCTCCTTTCCTCGCCTCTCGCCCCTCCAGGGTCTACGGAAGCCCACCTTGGAGGAGATCGACCACAGTAGGCGGGCCATCGTCACTCCCTCCCTGTTTGGCAGTTCTCTGGAGGAGGTGATGGAGAGGCAGAGCGAGCTCTTCCCCGACAGGAAACTGCCATGGGTGCAGGTTCAGCTTTCCCAGTATGTTCTTGCTCTGGGCGGAGCTCAGACGGAGGGCATCTTCAGGTAAGATAGTCTCAGCCAATTACATGCCTCGACTTGTGCAGCGTGAGAGAGGAGGAGTCTAGGAAATTAGAAGGGGATCTTCTGTACTGTATGTGCCTTATTGTATGTACAGTGTGTATAAACAAAATGTGTGTGGTCTCCTGTATCTCTGTATTTCAACGTAGGCTCTCCCTGTGTACAGTACACACAGCAGACAGCAGAACAAACACAGCCCACAAGCGCTGTTTAATTTGATACTTCATAATATGTGTTTACATTACTGCTTAAGCTTACAAGCACGTGGGAACTACACGGCTGTGTGTTTGAGTAGGGTTTTTTCCAGCAAATGTGACTCTGTAACATCTTGACTTGTTTAAAAACGTGTTCCCTTAGCCTCAAACGTGCTATATACGGATCTCCCTGTGAAACACGTACAACATGAGGACTGCCCCGAACAGTGTGCTGTTTGGTTGTGTAATGTTTGTTTTTGTTTTGTTCCAAAGAAGTACTGCAAACAAAGAACTGAGTACTTCCAGCCACCAGGCCACATTTGAGGCCAATTGGGTGTGCATGAGTAATGGTTTTGCCACAGGGCATGGAGAATCTGTAGCGATAGAAGCAGAGGTCCCTCTTGTGGCCACAGAGTGTAACTGTTGTACTGTTTTATTCTCAGAGTGCCTGGAGACATTGACGAGGTGAATGCGCTGAAGCTCCAAGTGGACCAGTGGAGGATCCCAGAGAATCTCTCTGACCCCAACGTTCCTGGTGAGGATGGATGTATTTGGATGTTTTGTTGTTGTGTGTTTGTGTGCACAAAATGGGGATGAATATGAAAATGATGTTTGTCTCATTCAGCCTCCCTAATGAAGCTGTGGTACCGGGAGCTGGAGGAACCTCTCATCCCAATGAACTTCTACAAGCAGTGCGTCAGTAACTGCGACGACCCAGTGGCAGCCATTGCTGTGGTTCAGTCTCTTCCTGAGCTCAACAGGCTGGTGCTCTGCTACTTCATCCACTTCCTGCAGGTAACCAACATGTTGACAAAGATTTAGAAACACAGACTTTAAAAACCATAATTTACTCCAACCAGCGTCCATATTCCACCAGCACCATTATGACAACATCTGTCAATTTTTTTGCCTTTGTGCTTTTCTTGTGTTTCCATCTTTAGCTTATTTTAATGAAGAAGCACCATGTTACCTTGTCACACATGTTCACATCAATTTGTAATAATATTCAGCCCTAAAAGCAAAATAATCAAGCCAACTAATACTAATAGAAAATAGTTATAGCTATACTATGCAGGAGTCGTCAGCTACTGTTTGTAAATCATATCACCAGGGAGAGTGAAAGTGAACGCCAACCCCCGAATCACTTTTGTTTTGGAACAAGCTTTGTCTGCCTGGCTAGATTTGCATTCTTTTGGCGCTGTGTCCGCCATTTTCATAGCTTCCTCTTGGATGCATGCCGCTTATGATCTGGCACCTGGTCACTACCTTTTTTATAAACAGCATATTAAGAGGAAAATAAGAAAGGACAGGCAGAGGGCAGAGTCACTGCAGATATATACAGCGCCACACACTTCTGTTGGGTAACAAGTGATGACTGAGAGAATTACCTATGTCTGAGTCTATACATTGTGTTTAAGAAAAAATCTTCTATAGTTTGTCTTTAAAGAACCAAAGTAAAAAATGAATTAACTAAAACCATCTTGTCCATTGTGTGAGGGGCTCTTTGCATGGGTGAAATATGGCCTCATTAAAAAATATAAAATACAAGTCTCCTTCAGAAATAATCCAAGGTATACTGTAGGATTTGTGCAAAAAAAACATTTTTCACCCATGCAAAAAGCCCTTCACATGATAGAGTAAGCACAGAAGACTTGGAAGTATCCAAAGAGCACCTGCATGTGATCACCAGCAGCACTTCAACTCTGTTATATACTAAATAGATCGTAAACTCAAACCTCAGAATTGCTCAAAACAAATTTTTTGTGTAAACTAACTCAACATTGAACACAAACATGCCCTTTGACTACTGTACACAAACATTTAAACTGAGGAAATTAATATATGTGAGCTCATGGATAACTGAATGTGACTCATACATTCCTCACTGCAGGTCAAAGGTCAGTCTGTACACTCATTGCTCTCTCTCTCCTTCCATCCTGATTATCTCTAGGTATTTGCTCAGCCATCCAACGTGGCTATAACCAAGATGGACGTGAACAACCTGGCCATGGTGATGGCCCCCAACTGCCTTCGATGCCAGTCCGACGATCCGCGGATCATCTTTGAGAACACGCGCAAGGAAATGTCCTTCCTGAGAATGCTCATCGTTCACCTGGAGACCAGTTTCATCGAAGGGGTGGTGTAGACACTGTGAACCGTAGAGCTCACCTCTGGTGCTGAATCGGCACCTCCTGTTACACATTTACAGTCATGCATAAACACTGTCTCTGTTCAGACCACACTGGAAACTCTTGGGGTGAGATATTACACCTCTTACGACACAAGCAGTGTGAACACAGCTTGGACTCTGGACCCTCGTTCTCACTTGCTTTTTTTACTGAGAGACAACACACATCACCTTCACTGTGTTTTTGATACTAAAATCAGCAGTGACGGCTTTAAAGTGGCTCACTTTAATGACTATTTTCTAACAGCTGCATGTGAAAACAGATCTACTCTTCATTTTGTTACTGAATGAGGTAGTCCTACAGTTTCATGGGACGATCAGGCTGTGTAAGTGAGAGTCTTACAGTATTCACTTCAGAAGTATTCACTTGCACAGCAAACCTAAAGACGGCAGTGTTGATGCGCTGCTTTTTTTTAACACTCTGGTTTCAATCAAGTGTGTTTGTGTGTGTGTGTGTGTGTGTGTGTGATTGTCAGAGTGTGGACAAAAGACACAGCCTTCCTTTATCATGTACAGAAAAAGTGAAAATATAAAAAAGAACTCTTGTAATGGTGTCTTATTAATAAGCTTGCCTGTGCTGTTTTGAGTAGTTGTACTGATAGCTGGTCTCTTCGTATTTCATTTTTACGAGACACAAGAAGCCGTGCCGCCACAACTGAATGCAGAGCTTCATTTTAAAAGCACAAACTGGATGGATGTGCAGACGGATGGTGGCGATTTTCTAAGAAAATAAACTTAGAGGTGCTTCGACATTACAACTATAAACACTCGAGTGAAGCCAGATGAGAGTGTTGTAATTACAGTTTGTGTCATAGTGATGTGGGAGGTTGGTAATTAAACTGATAATACTCTTTCTCTATTATCTATTAAAAAAGTCTTTCAATTGGAGTTGTGTTCTCTTTTGTTTGTGGTCTGTATGTTGTTTTTTTTTTGGCTCAGGTCTTATGATAAAACGGGTGTTGGATGTGATAACTGTACATGGCCTCCCTCACAGAATGAAAATTTGATGAATCTACCATAAACCCGTGTACTGAGAACGGAGTAATCAACTGTCAAGCACTATGAGAATGTAGATTAAGCTTTTGGTGTCCCCTCTCAGGCTTTGCCGATGTAAATAAATTCAGCGTGTAAATAGTATTAACTCTCCTTAAGTGTATTCTAATGATCCAGGTTTAAGGGTGAAGTTAATGTTGCTGTAAAGAGCAATAAAAAAAGTGTTTTTGTAATTAACTGTTCATTTCTCTGCTGTAACCGCCTGCCTTTTGAACATAGGACTGATTCAAACCACTCTCCGTGTGTGTGTATATGTGTGTTTGCATACCTTCCTGTTATAATATGGATTGACTGTCCATAAATAAAGGTTTGTTCAATTGTACAGTGGGTGTCTGGTGTTTGTGTTGGCACTTCTTTCTTTGTTTTGACAGTGGTTTGCAGAGAGCAGATGGGAAATGAGCAAGAGGAGGGACAACATGGAACTAACCCCCTGGCAGGAAGCTGTGGCCACATCATCAACGTCTTAGAATTAGTCACTGGAGAACATTTCATTTGCCTCCAGTGAAGAATTACTTCTAAATTACAGGATTTCTTCATTAGCTTTTATGACAAAATCAATATTCAAGCTTGGAAAAAGGCCCTGCATGTATTACTTGAATAATAAAACGATGTAGTAAAATGAGCTCAACGAGCACAGACGGTAAGGCACAGCTGAATTTGTAGGATATTTGTCTGGCCACCAAGATTGCTGGGATTTGTCAAAACAAAAATACTTGCAGGCGACAACTATAATTCGGAACATTGTCCTTTTTACTCAGAATATTGTTTAGGTTTAATTGAGTGGGATTGTTGTTTCATTTCATGTGAAATTTAGTGACATCTAAATAGTACTTGTGTATGTACGCCTCATTTTGGGCTTATGAAATGGCTAAACTATTGATTATTATATGTTAAGGATTTTCAAATAGTTTAAGGGGTCAAATACCTTTAAATTTGCAAAATAACTACCTGTATGCCATAATTTGGACCTTAAAAAGACCTCAACTTTTCAAGTAAGATGAAAACTCAAGAGTGTACCCCAAAACATTTTTAATATATAAACATTTTTTTAAACATAATTAAGAGATAACTTAGTGTGTAGTAACATATTAATGTTATTGTTTTGGATAATATGCATGGTTTTAAGGATTGTTAAGGGGTTTATGAATGAACAAAAATATGAAAATCATTTAGTTTTACTTGAAAATGTACGCCCTTTATGGTGTTTGCAAGGCTTGCAGTCAATTTTAAGGATCTTTACTCCCTAAACTGGAATATAAGTAATTAAAAGTACCATTATGTATTACAATCAATTAATTTATCTATTAATGAACCCCTTAATAGCCCAGTTAAATGCCTAATTACCTCACTATTACCCAGCATCTGTATGTGGGGCCCATGTGGGTAGTAAATGGGTTTAAAAATGGGACCCGTATGGGATTGTCCATGGGTTCCATACTGGCCCCATGCCACTTGCCCACATCAATGGCTTTACCCAAGTGGACCCACATGGTTATGTTAGGGTGACCTGGGTACCAAGTGGGTATGGGCCCAAAATGGAACTCTTATCCAGGGCCCACCTGGGTAAACCCACCCATGTCGGCAATATGTAACCCATGAACAATCCCATATATGGCCCATTTTTCAGCCAGTTTACTACCCACATGGGCCCTATACTCAAATGTTGGGTGGGTAATGAGTGAGTAGGAGGCTCTGTCTGGTCTCATAATAATAAACTTAATAGTTCTGATCCAGCAATGCAAACTCTCAGTATCCTTTGAAAGCAGCGGTGGCAACCCGTTGCATTTCTCAATCCGATAGTATTTCTCAGAAAGGCTTTTAAAAACTGAACACTTGCAATGAGTTACACAATCAGACACAGCGAGTAAGGATCTATTTGTCTCATGTGTCTGTACAGCTAAAGATTGCATCAGCTTTACACACACAACATACTTTGACTGCTGAGTGTATTTGTCCAGAGTTATGAAAGTCTTATTCCTTTGTCTCTGTGACTGCACAGGTGAAAGGGTTGGGCAAACACATGCTGCTCTCCATCCATCCCTCACTCATCCATCTGTACATTTTCATCTGTTTGTCCTTTTATGCATATCACTGCACAGAACTGCCACCTGCATCGTCCGTCACTCTCTTGCAATCATGTAGCTGTCTGCCACCGCTGAAAAGCTGGGCAGGCACTGTAACTATGACAGCGGAGTAAGAAGACCTCTGGTCTCAGTTTGTGCGACTGGAACATGTTAGAGAAAACAGACACAGGAGGGAAGAAGAAACACTGACAGCCTCTTTCAAAAAGCACACTCAGTGACAGAGGTCATGGAACAGGCAGCTTTTATTTTCACATCATCCTGACTGCAAAAACTTAAGCCATACTTTACTGTGTTTACGAGCCACTATGGTTCCACTACAGTACTTTGGTTACATTTATTATGAGTGTTTCATAGAGTTTATTTTCATTATCACAGTGAGAGCAGCAAGGGCGGAGGTTTCATTTCAATACTGTGAGGAACCACCAATCAGGACCAAGCACTGGACCCGGGGGGACAGAGTCTTCTCCCTAGCTGTCCCCTCCCTCTGGACCTCTCTCCCTGAACACATGCAGGACTGCACCAGTCTCTCACAGTTCAAATCACTGATCACAACTGCACTTTTCAAAACTGCTTTTACTCAATCAATCAATCAATCAATTTTATTTATAAAGCCCAATATCACAAATCACAATTTGCCTCACGGGGCTTTACAGCATACAATATCCCTCTGTCCTTATGACCCTCGCAGCGGATAAGGAAAAACTCCCCAAAAAAAACCCTTTAACGGGGAAAAAAAACGGTAGAAACCTCAGGAAGAGCAACTGAGGAGGGATCCCTCTTCCAGGACGGACAGACGTGCAATAGATGTCGTACAGAACAGATCAGCATAATAAATTAACAGTAATCCGCATGACACAATGAGACAGAGAGAGAGACAGAGAGAGAGATGCAGGTAATGACAGTAGGTTACAACAACATTATTGAAAGTAATAATATTATAGTTATAGTTCTGGCTACTGTGGTACAATATGTTGAAAGTATGTATTAATATCTGGCAGTATACATGTGTGACAATAGTCATATGTGTATAATAACAGTAGAAGTATGACTAATGACTAATGATGGCAGTAGCAGCAGGAGGCATCTGGCAGGACCACGGCAGCAGCACAACCACACACGTCACGCTGTCCAGGCACCGCTGCGATATGAGTTAATCTGAGAGACAGTGGAGCACAAAGGCTCCGGAGAAGAAGCCGAGTTAGTGACATCCAGAATGGCCGAGTTAGCAAGATGCAGTAATAGAATACGAGAGAGAGAGAGAGAGAGAAGGAGAGAAGGTGCCCGGTGTATTATAGGGGGGTCCTCCGGCAGACTAGGCCTAAGTCAGCCTAACTAGGGGCTGGTACAGGGCAAGCCTGAGCCAGCCCTAACTATAAGCTTTATCAAAGAGGAAAGTCTTAAATCTAGTCTTAAATGTTAAATGTGTCTGCCTCCCGGACCGTAACAGGAAGATGATTCCACAGGAGAGGAGCCTGATAGCTGAAGGCTCTAGCTCCTGATCTACTTTTGGAGACTTTAGGGACCACGAGTAACCCTGCGTTCTCAGAGCACAGTGTTCTGGTGGGATAATAAGGCACTATGAGCTCTCTAAGATATGACGGAGCTTGACCATTTAGAGCTTTATAAGTTAACAGTAGGATTTTAAATTCAATTCTGGATTTTACAGGGAGCCAGTGCAGAGAAGCTAAAACAGGAGAAATATGATCTCGTTTCTTAGTTCCTGTTAGTACACCTGCTGCTGCATTCTGAATTAGCTGGAGAGTTTTTAAGGACTTACTAGAGCTACCTGATAATAGAGAGTTACAGTAATCCAGCCTTGAGGTAACAAAAGCGTGGACCAATTTTTCTGCATCTTTTCGGGTCAGGATAGGCCTAATTTTCGCAATATTACGCAGATGAAAAAATGCAGTCCGTGAGGTTTGTTTTAAATGAGAATTAAAAGACAAATCTTGATCAAATATTACTCCGAGGTTTCTTACGGTAGTGCTAGAGGCCAGAGCAATGCCATCTAGAGAAACTATGTCATCAGATAAAGAGTCTCTGAGTTGTTTGGGGCCAAGAACAATAACTTCAGTTTTGTCTGAATTTAACATCAGGAAATTGGTGCTCATCCAAGTTTTTATGTCTTTAAGGCAGTTATGGAGTTTAGTTAATTGATTACTTTCTTCTGGCTTCATCGATAAATACAACTGAGTATCATCTGCATAACAATGGAAACTTATAGAGTGATTTCTAATGATGATTACCTAAAGGAAGCATATATAGAGTAAATAGGATTGGTCCGAGCACAGAACCTTGCGGAACTCCAAAACAAACTTTGGTACGTAAGGATGATTCATTATGAACGTCAACAAACTGAAAACGATCAGATAAATAAGATTTAAACTAGCTTAGTGCAGAACCTTTTAGGCCAATTAAGTGATCCAGTCTCTGCAGTAGAATTTGATGGTCAATTGTGTCAAACGCCGCACTAAGATCTAATAAAACAAGTACAGAGACAAGTCCTTTGTCTGAAGCAATCAGAAGGTCATTTGTAATTTTAACTAGTGCTGTCTCACGCTATGATGCACTCTAAATCCTGACTGAAATTCCTCAAATAAATTATTATCATGGAGAAAATCACACAGCTGGTCTGCGACTACTTTCTCAAGGATCTTTGACATAAAGGGAAGATTAGATATTGGTCTATAGTTGGCTAACACCTCTGGATCCAGGGTGGGCTTTTTTAGTAGAGGTTTTACTGTGTGAATAATATGTATTTTAGTGTATTCTTTTTTACGATCATTTTAACTTATGTAAAGCATCTCTGAGTACCGCGAATAGCACTCTATAAACAGAAATGTATTATCATTATTATTATTATTATTATTATTATTATTATTATAAGGCTATATAACGCAGGGCACTGGGGTTATGGGGGCCTCTGCCAGGATATTGTAAGCATAAAGTAAGCATGAGATTTTACAAAAAGAAAAAAGCAGACAAAAAAACAGTAATAACAGGCAGGGACATCATAGGCAAAGGTGAAATGCTCAACACTGAGCAAAACAGAAAATAAGAAGAAACAAGGCTACACTACAGTGGGTGGACGGTGGGTGGAGCTATGCGCCCAGTGATTTGTATATTGTATATAGGGGTGAACAGTGACTTATAAGCTGGTCAGGGCCTTTATTCACTTACATATGTAGGAAGAAGCAAATAATAATGTTGTTCTCAGTTTGATTAATACAACTGGTGAGGATACTAGAGTCAGGTTATGTCCTAAAAGCTTGATTTGCTCATTTAGGTCCATTCAGAATATATTTAAAGTGCTTTGACTAACAAATATTTACATGTTTATGGGAAGAAATAAACAAGACATTTTAAAATCAACATATTTTTGCAGTATTTAGGTGATAAATAATAGAGATACTGAAGCGCCCTGTGTCGTTGCAGGCGCATGCGCAGTGTAGCGCCACACTGCCCGCGCGCCGGTGGTAAATGCATCTGGGAGAAATTCAACTGCGTGATCTAGTCCAGACAGGCGGAGGCGGTGGGACCTGCTCTTTAAAGGGATTACTCCACACATTTACACCCAACCGGACAAAGAGTGACTGGAGAACAGGTAGGAAGCCTAAATCTTGTCTCCCCATCGCTCCGGAGTTTATAACCCCGAATAACATCGCGAACGAGGCCGGTTTGGTGGATGCGTCAACAGCTTAGATGGTGTGGTGCCGCATGTCGGCTTTTTGAGTTCAAAACAAACGTGACGAAGTAGGTAATAAAATGTAACGTTTGTACATTTCGTGGTTCTATTCGTGTGACTACGGTGTGCCTCTTGCTCGTCATGTTCGTTTTTCACCAGGTACCTTTACACGGCTCCGTGGTTTCTCAGTTAGGGAAGTTTAATGCTTTGCATTTCCACGCTGCTCGTTCACAGCACGAAAAGTCTGAGAAAGTAGGCCTAGCGCGAGGCCCTGAAGAGCTCTGGGAGTGACAGCTGCGCGGCCAATCAGATGCGAGTATCCCGCCCATAGCAGACTCGTTCGACCAGTCATATCTGCTTAAAGCGCTGACGTAATCATCTACCGTTACGCCCACTGTTATAAAACACTGGACAATAAAGCGCTATTAGCAGAAGAAGTAGTCAACAGGAGAATAGTAGGAGCAATGTGAGACAACGTGTCCTCGTGTAATCTATGAAAACACAATTTAAAGACCTGTGAAGTAAACGTATAAATTAAAAGGGTGTGGGATGCTTTTTTGCCACTTATTACTATAAAACATTAACCTACGATTAAGTGAATCGTTGTTTGTTGGTAACGTTACTATTTAAATCTACAACCATCACCCGCTTCCTGACTCATGATTGTTGCATCACCAACTCCCGGTTTGCGCCCTGCCTGTGTCGCTGTCGTCTGTCTGGCTCCTTATGCAGGCCATAAAAACGCACAGTTTCATCTTACATATTGAGTTTTACTGACCAGGATATTGTTTCCTCTTTGCTAACGTACTGGGTATGTGCCTGCTGCAGACGATTGATGATGGGGGTCTTTTCCATTGTCTTCTATTGTGTCTATACGTGAAATCGCCTGAGCAGAAAACACGTGGGCCGAGTAGTGTGAAGATATCCGGTTTGTACGTTGCACGGAAAGCCAATAACTCCCGACTGCCTCCGCTATGGTGAACCGAGTCAGCTATAACCTGGACAAAAGTAAGACATTGTAATTTATAATGTAGATCGTTTAGCTGGTAATGAAGGGCGCCGTTATCTCATGTTACCCTGTATGTGCTTGACAAAGGAGGCGCCGTTATCGGGAGGGAATTTACATTTTCTGTACAAGACCAAACGATCATCCTTCTGAACCAAGCCCTTTATTTCAGCTGACAGCAGCGGACTACGGGGCTGTGTTTGATGAGACTGCATGGACAAGGATCCAATTTAAGACAAAATACACTGTTCATCAGTCAAGTATTAGCTTGGTGCATGATTGCTTGCTGACTGTACTGGTGGGTAGGAAGTTAAAGCCATGATCAAGTTATGTAGTCATTTTTCTACCTCCTCTCATTGTGCGTTCTTGATAGGAAGTAAAATCAATACAGGATATTTAAATACTGCTCATTTTGATTAAAAATCCCCATAGAGGTCGTTTTTAGACATCACTGAACATCTGGTATTAGTTGCACATTTCATCACCATTTGAGGTACATGGCTCACCCGTATAATGTCAGTTTTTGCTTTACACTGTGTTGCACTATGTTACAACATGTAATCTGTAGCTTGTGTATGTTTACACTGGTAATATCTGTTCTCAGCCTGGACTGCATTGGTGTTCTGCTGTCACACAATGGGAGTGCCCTACTCGCCTTTTAATGCCAAAATTGCTACTCGGGTGCAAAGCTGTGATTTGCCACAGTCTCCTGGTAAAATAATGATTAGTGCTGACCTGAGAGAGAAGAGGCTGACTGCAAGACTGTCTGTAAATTCCTTGATAGTCATGTGCATTGTGTTCTTCTTGGCTAGGCACAATGTTTTTCTCAGTAGTGTACCCAAGGTCATATGGGTCTAGGTTTGATTGGTATGTTTATTGGTTATTGTGTCTGTATGTGTATGTGTGTGCACAGGAAGGGAGCCTTGATGTGGGCAGTATGAGTAAGACGCCCCCTAACAGAAGAGGGATATCTTTTGAGGTGGGAGCTCAGCTTGAGGCCAGAGACAGCCTCAAAAACTGGTGAGTCATGGCCTCACTCATTCCTCCCCATCCCTGTTACTGTTCAGTCCCTTTACTCTCTCTCATATACCCTCATACTCTTCCATCCCGGGCCAGTCTTAGCTATTCTGCATTAAATGTTAAAAGATTAAGAGCAAAGTGAAGAAATCACTGCTCCTTTGCCAGCAAATGACAGCTGGTGATGGGTGTGTGCTCTCAAGCAGCCTTTGATCTGGATTGTTAATGAAGGATGGTAGAATTAAACTGTGACCGTTTAATCATAATTTAAATCTTCTTAATAGCTGCAATATGGCCAGGATAGAAATCAAGACTGTTGTTGGTACCATAGAATTTTTTAAAGTAAACTATGTGAAATTGGTGTTGCAGCACAACTGTGTGAGCCACCTTCTTGTAGGGACACTCAGCCTAGTCCTTTGGTGGTCACATATAAAAAAATACAGTTGATGTTGGTCCCCCTGTTTCACTCCTGCATATTACTGGAGGTTGCAGGGTTTTATTTAACAGTTTGTTTATTACTTAGTAAACAGAACACCAAATTTATCACAAGATATACATACCAACCCCCCACCCAGAATCCCCCAACATGTCATCACTACATACACAGTTGGCCTTGGCTGTCAACATAAACATGCTCCCTCATATACAGTGGAAACAGATATTTAAAACAAGACAGAACTTGACAAATAAACAATTGCAAAACAAGGAAGTAAAAAACAAATCCACATTTTGTCCACGCATAGACAAAGACATTAAACTAGGACTGTCATATTGGGATTATTTTTGACAGATATTGCGACTGTGATGTGTCATGATTGAGTAGGAATGGTAATTTTCGCATTTCATTTTCACTGAAAAAAATATTAAAATGATGATGATGATGGGAGTTTTGCTGGATCTGTACTAAACAAGCATGTTCCCTTATGTCTACAAAATGATTTGTAGGTCAGGGAATCTCTGTAGCACCACAATGCTTCACCACAATGCTTCATTTATTATAATATTGTGACACATTTACCCCCATCAAAATATTGCAGCTCCAGCTATTTGAATATTTTGCCTGACCATATTGCAATGTTGATAATATTTTGATTAGCTGTGCAGCCCTACACTAAATATAAAAATGCAACTCCCCACAAAGTGTGAACCATGTCAGTGGTCCCCCAAAAACTCATTAATATTTGCCCAATTTTCTAATACATACATCCAATTTTATAAATTGTTAATGGGACATATTTTCAACTGCTGCCACTCCTGCTGTCTCTGCAGCCCCTTTGTGGGCTTAAGGCACCCTCTCAGTCATCCATACTCAGAGAAGAATCTATCACTCATAATACTTGTTTGGACACATTTTTGAATGTGTTCGTCTTTTCCCATAACCTTAAACAAATAATCTCTCTTAAGTTAAAAAGTGTTTTATGATTCATGGCGTCTTTATGTTTGACATTTTTGAAATTTACTCATTTTCACTTATTTGCATTCCTCAGTTGTTTGAAATAGTGGAAAAGGAACTTAAACCTCTCCCTGTCCAATCACACACTGTTGATATTCTTCTGTCATGTAGGTATGCTGCCAACATAGAGAAGATTGACTTTGAAGGTGAAAAAGTACTAATCCATTACCGGCAGTGGAGTCACCGTTACGACGAATGGTTTGACTGGACGAGTCCCTACCTGAGACCCGTGGAGAGGGTTCAGCTGAGGCGGCAGGGCCTGCAGGACGACACTCCTGTACCTGTAAGCTAAGAACATTGTTCATGCTTGCTTTAACTTCTGTCACATAGAGAAATTTGAAATTCTGCCTGTCTCTTAGGTGCCTCTGGCCTGTATTTCACAGTGTATTTCTGCAAAAAAGAGTTCTTTATCTCTTTCTAAAAAATTGAGCACCATGTCTTTTTTAAAAAAGAATTAACAACAATGATGGTTTTGTAAGAATTTAACAGCTCCACCTTTCATTAAACTCTGACAACATGCCTCCAGTATGTTCCAGATCGAATGTATCCTTCCTCCCTCCAGGGCTTTCATGTGAACGACAAGGTCCTGGCCAGCTGGTCTGACTGCCGTTTTTACCCCGCTAAGGTCATTTCTGTCAATAAAGATGGTGAGTATCAAGAGCTATCTTTGTCTTTAATGTTTAGATCCATAGTGTTTGAACTTAATGATCACAATAACTTTAAGCAGATTATTTTTGGAAGATGTTAAAGATTTTAGTTTGATTATTAAAATTAGATGGGTTTAATACAAGATTGTGTGAACTGGAGCATACGGCGGTCTAAAATATTCGTTTCCCTTTTGCTTTCGAAAGGGAAGCTGTGGTGTTGAATGGTGTTCAGTAACATCAATATGGCTTTTTCTTTCACTGGCACAGCAAAGAGAAACTGTGAAGACAGATCTGTTTGATGCACAATTACAAAACTCTAAATAGGGGTACATCTCTCACAAGAGGCATTTATACACAGGATGTGACGAATAAATGGCAAAAAATGTGAATTACTCGCCTGCAATTATTTTGCAACAAACCATTCATATTGGCAGCGTTACAAATTCGTGACACTTACAACGTGTTCAATAAAAGGTGTAAACAGATTTGCCCTGAAGGAGTTTGACTTGCCTCTGGTAAAGATTTACACAGTGTGTAAGTCAAGGGCTTTTATTGTGGAACGTAAGGATTGAGGGAGTGGATCTTGTATGTGCTGCCTTTGTTGAAGTTGAAAAGAGTAATAAAGTTTGTTGTCTTGATTCAGACTATGGACCGTCCACGTTGTTCAATAATGCTACTCCACACTAGGGGTTGGGGGATGGGGAGCGATAAAGCATAGTATCATGTATCGACTCGAGAACGCCAAGCATTGATTTTTTTTTTTTAATTATTTAAATTATTAGTATTGGTAATACCATCTTTTTGGTAGCCTCCTATAACACTAAAATCCATTGCTTTTTCAGTCTGTTGGATACCTATTGCTGAAATAAAAATGACGTGAGATGAACAGACTGAAAGCTTTATATCATGAGATAAAAAGGATGTTGGAAAGTTTTCCTTTGGAGACATTATTTGCATTTTTTTTTTAAAAAAAAAAGGGGGTAATAAAATGCAGTACATTTCAACATATGTTATTGCAATACGCCGCAAATCACAAAACATTTGTGATGTATCATGACTCAAGGATCATAATAATATCATACTGTGGGGCCTCTGGTGATTCCCACCTCTACTTCACGTCCTTGAGTTCTTTGTCTGTAGTCCTTTGTCATATTGTACAAGGTACTGAGATACAATGATCGATAGGTCTGCCATTGTCGTGACGTTGTGACGTGTGGTTGATGCTTTTAATTGTGTTGCGAATGCTCATAAAAATGTACCTCATTCCAAAAAAAAAGACGTCTCTTTTTCACCACCTGATATTTGTATTCTGCGTGAAAGCAATTATGTCAAAAACAACATTTCGCTGGGAAAAATTGACGAGAGTTTGCATGAAAGAAATGCCTCTGGTGTTTAAAGGCTTTTACAACAAAATGAACAATTGAAGTGTCGCTACAGCTTAAAAACTATTCCCATCATCAGCTACCTGACTAGCAGCTGGATCTTGTGTGAAACATGTTTTACATCTGTTTATCTTCTCCCCCGTCAGCATCCTACACTGTGAAGTTCTATGATGGCGTTATCCAGACAGTGAAGGGGATACACGTGAAGCCATTTATTAAAGAGGTAAATGTAATAAGTGAGCATGAACATCCAGAATAATTAAAGCATATAGTTTTTGTCTCGTGTGTCATTGTTTCCTAATTTCCTCTTTGTCTTGCTGACAAATAGAGAGGTGGTGTTGGTGGAGGGAAATCTCGGTCCACCGAAAGGAACATGGTAAGGAGGGCCCCGACCCGCAGAGACAGGAGGCCTCAGGAGAACGGTGGTCCCAAGAACAAGCGAGCCAGACGCAGCACCTCTGACCAGGAGGAGGACAGCAACAGTGAGGACGAGGAGCGGGAAGAGAGGATGGTGAATGAGAAGAGCAAGAAAACAAACGGTGAGGTAGAGGCTGCACCCACTATCAAACAGGAAGAGGAAATACAAGAGCAAGCAGACCAGAACAAGCCCAGGGATGTAGAAAAGGGGGCAGGACTCACGAATGGGGTGAAGGTGGAGGAGGATGATGAGCATAATGAGAAAAGGTGTCACGTAAATGGAGAGGTGAAGAAGGAAGAGGAGGAAATAGAACAGAGTGGAACAAAGCCATACACAGAGACGCCGAAGCCATACACAGAATTTCCCACTCAGACGTCAGCACAGATGGAGCAGGTGCCTGTCACTATGACAACCACAGAGTCCAATGGAGATGTGGAGCAGAAGCCAAACGTCCAATCAGAAAGCTCTCAGCCTGCGGTGGACGTGCCGCCACCTCAGCCTGTGAAACGTAAGTGTTAATGAAGTAAATTAGCAGAGATGTCATCAGATCTGTAGGATTGTGAAAATTAGTTACTGGGTGCAGTTAATCTCACATCGCATCTGGGCATGTTTTCAAGACTTAAGTGAATAAATGAATTTCTTTCTTTTGCCTTTGGTAGCGGTGAGGAAGCAGGGTTTCCACAACCCCAACAGATTCAGCAGAGAACCATGTGAGTACAAAGCAAAACTTAGTAAACAAATACAGCCATCACTTCTGTTTCATTCTTTGATGTCCTTTCTTCACACACCTCACTTGTGTTATTCCTTGTTTTAGTGTACCGAGTTATCAAAAACCAACCTCCCCCTGTCCTGTCCATCAACCTCGACCACAACCCATTCAAGTGCAGCGCTCCCGGCTGCACAAAGTCATTCCGTAAGGCCAAGCTGCTGCACTACCATATGAAATATTATCATGGCGAGGAGCAGCCTCCGGAGGGGGAGCGCAGCCCCACCAGGAGTGTCCAGACCAGGGCCTCTGAGAAACAGGCTACTACTACCAGTTTGGACGGCCCGAAGAGAAGGCGCACCATCTCTGCTTCTATGCGTGAGCTCCTCTTGAGTTTTTTTAGAAACTGGCTATTTCTACAATTCAAACAAATGCATGTTACGTGACTACAAAATCAGAAATGCTTTAATTACTAATCATACACTTCTAAAACAAGTATTTCACTTCCAGCCATACAAATATTTCAGAGCCTTGGGCTTATAGTTGGTCTTTGATTTTTCTCAGACTCAGTTGGGCCTACTGCAGCTCCCCGTGGCGAGGTGAAGACTGCAGGCAGGCGCACATCAGCCCCGCCTGCAGTCAACACCCAGAGCCATCAGCACAGGGCACTGCTGAGGGAGAAGAGCAAGGAGAACCAGCTGGACAGGAACGGATGCCAGCAGCAGGACAAGGACTCAGACAAGAGCGGCTTTGACATTGGTCAGTATCATGCAGTATGAGGGTGTTGTTTATTAATGTAACTCCTCTGCCTTGAAATGCCTAAAAACAACTGAAGATTGTTATGTATTTTGTTGAGTTGTATCCTGACATTATCTCAAACATTTAAACTGTATTCAAGCCCAGAGAAATCTGTTGTTTTCAAGGACAGGCTCTGTGTCATTTGGTTGCTGTCAGCGGCGTCATATCCCCTTTGCACATGTGTAGAGTTGTGGTTTTCTCCCAGAAGCTTTCATAAATTGACTTTTTATGCTGTTTAAAGCAACACCTATACGATTCCCTTTTTAGATCTTAGTCCTCTTTAACTGTCTGTTTTTAACTGGATGACAGATGTCTGGATCATAAGTTATCAGAGAAACAAGTTGAGCAAACGTTCGCTGCAGCTGGGCTCCAGCCCCTGCTGTGCCAAACATTATTGGAGAAACAACATTTTTAATGTGAAACTGCTTTGTTCAGTGTTTTTACCAGTGTAAATCACCGGGTCAGGTTGTTTTAAAGAGAAAGAGACTTCAGTGGATAATTCGGCTCCTGGTAAAAACCACCTGACCTTTGATTGTTATTGTTTTGACTGAGAGAACCCCAGCAGCAGAAAATTACACCTTGTATACTAAAGCTAGAAAATGACTGCATTGTGTGTTACATAGAGTCCTTCTTGTTTACTGTTAGTTTCCCTTCTTACAGTACAATTTTGCTTATAGAAAAGTCAACCTGGTGTGATTGCTGTGCAGACACAAGTCTTAACTCTTGACTCTTAATGGTCCCCAGGGTCCGTGAAAGACAAACTGAAAGAGAAACCGAAACAGAAGGACTTCCTCCGCATTAAACTAAAGAAGAAGAAAAAGAAAAAGAAGGCCAAGTCCGGTAAGAAGGGGTCCCGGGCACTGGGCCTCATCACATATCTGCTGCTCTGCATGTGCACTCACTGTGACATCGTGGAAATGGCTAGCCTGCAAAGCATAAAGTACTCCATTCACTCCTCTTGGTGTGGTGGCTGAGCCTTTGTGTGTGGGAAAACGTGTTACATCTGTTGCTGGCCTCTGTTGCTCCATTATGCCAGTCAGAAAGCTCCAACTCATTTCTTCTACACCATAGCTTGCATTTGCTCTCTTATACGACAACTCTGACAGCACTGGTGATAAAAAGCCAGATGTTGTTGTGGCACTGATATTGACTAATCCAAACACAAATCCAACACTGTATTCCTAGTTGGCACTCACATGTACAGTACAGGCCAAAAGTTTGGACACACCTTCTCATTCAATGCGTTTTCTTTATTTTCATGACTATTTACATTGTAGATTCTCACTGAAGGCATCAAAACTATGAATGAACACATGTGGAGTTATGTACTTAACAAAAAAAGGTGAAATAACTGAAAACATGTTTTATATTCTAGTTTCTTCAAAATAGCCACCCTTTGCTCTGATTACTGCTTTGCACACTCTTGGCATTCTCTCCATGAGCTTCAAGAGGTAGTCACCTGAAATGGTTTCCACTTCACAGGTGTGCCTTATCAGGGTTAATTAGTGGAATTTCTTGCTTTATCAATGGGGTTGGGACCATCAGTTGTGTTGTGCAGAAGTCAGGTTAATACACAGCCGACAGCCCTATTGGACAACTGTTAAAATTCATATTATGGCAAGAACCAATCAGCTAACTAAAGAAAAACGAGTGGCCATCATTACTTTAAGAAATGAAGGTCAGTCAGTCCGGAAAATTGCAAAAACTTTAAATGTGTCCCCAAGTGGAGTCGCAAAAACCATCAAGCGCTACAACGAAACTGGCACACATGAGGACCGACCCAGGAAAGGAAGACCAAGAGTCACCTCTGCTTCTGAGGATAAGTTCATCCGAGTCACCAGCCTCAGAAATGGCAAGTTAACAGCAGCTCAGATCAGAGACCAGATGAATGCCACACAGAGTTCTAGCAGCAGACCCATCTCTAGAACAACTGTTAAGAGGAGACTGCGCCAATCAGGCCTTCATGGTCAAATAGCTGCTAGGAAACCACTGCTAAGGAGAGGCAACAAGCAGAAGAGATTTGTTTGGGCCAAGAAACACAAGGAATGGACATTAGACCAGTGGAAATCTGTGCTTTGGTCTGATGAGTCCAAATTTGAGATCTTTGGTTCCAACCGCCGTGTCTTTGTGAGACGCAGAAAAGGTGAACGGATGGATTCCACATGCCTGGTTCCCACTGTGAAGCATGGAGGAGGAGGTGTGATGGTGTGGGGGTGTTTTGCTGGTGACACTGTTGGGGATTTATTCAAAATTGAAGGCACACTGAACCAGCATGGCTACCACAGCATCCTGCAGCGACATGCCATCCCATCCGGTTTGCGTTTAGTTGGACGATCATTTATTTTTCAACAGGACAATGACCCCAAACACACCTCCAGGCTGTGTAAGGGCTATTTGACCAAGAAAGAGAGTGATGGAGTGCTGCGGCAGATGACCTGGCCTCCACAGTCACCGGACCTGAACCCAATCGAGATGGTTTGGGGTGAGCTGGACCGCAGAGTGAAGGCAAAGGGGCCAACAAGTGCTAAACAACTCTGGGAACTCCTTCAAGACTGTTGGAAAACCATTTCAGGTGACTACCTCTTGAAGCTCATGGAGAGAATGCCAAGAGTGTGCAAAGCAGTAATCAGAGCAAAGGGTGGCTATTTTGAAGAAACTAGAATATAAAACATGTTTTCAGTTATTTCACCTTTTTTTGTTAAGTACATAACTCCACATGTGTTCATTCATAGTTTTGATGCCTTCAGTGAGAATCTACAATGTAAATAGTCATGAAAATAAAGAAAACGCATTGAATGAGAAGGTGTGTCCAAACTTTTGGCCTGTACTGTATGTAAAGTATGTTTGGCATGAACACAGATACTGTAGGTTACATTCCACATTGGTTATTTCATGCTATTAAAAGGCCTGAAACACGGTCGTGTGGATTTCATCAGATTGGTTGTCCCTGAATGTTCTTGAGCCATTTATTTGTCCATGTTTGTTGTGCGCCAGTTTTTCACCTCCTGATGGGCGTTTGTTTGGCATTTACAAAGCTGACATTTTGTTCTACGTCTGCTTCCCCCCTTCCCTGTATTAACAGACTACACAGGTAGTGAGGAGAATATTGACATCTCAGTATTGGGTCTTCAGTCCAAATTGAATTTGCCACTCAAATTCCCCCCCTCACACAATCACAAGCCTGAGGCCTACCCCAGCAGGCCTGGATACAGCTACTCACAGCAGATACATGTGGATGGTGGGTATCTCTGTGACCGTGCGTGTGTGTGTGTGTGTGTGTGTGTGTGTGTGTATTACTTTGTCTGTGTGACTGTACATGGCTTCCTCTCCCTTCCATTCTCCAACTCTGGATTCAATCCATCATGCTGTTCTAGTTTGATGTGCATCACATCTGAGGGGTGTACCATGAAGCCAAATTAGTGGGTTAGCAAGATAAGTTAAATCCAAAGTATTTTTACTGTCACAGAAGTGGCTCTCTTCTTACCTGGCAAGATCACCATGGTAACTTAAGCCGCATTGTTGATCTGGTGGGGACCATTTTCTGTTGAGACTTGAAATTAGCTAAAAAGAGCCTTTTGCTAATTAGTGCCTTGGAAATAGTGCCACCTTGTATTCAGTAGGCAATTTACAACCTGTTGCGCCGTAACATTACATTAGTAATACCACCGAACGAAGCTGTGTAATAACAGCACAGCAAACTGTATGCTTCACCTTGCCACGGGAACTTGTATGCACTCAGTTAGTGATGCAGAAAATCTGAGGAAGAATATTGTTATATTTTATTTGCAAGGCTGTACTGCTGACTATGTTTTGGTGTTCCCTGGTCTGTTTGTTCCCACTGGCTCTAACAGCAAAAACCTGATATAAAACCACAGGTACCATTGTACAGTTAATAGTTAACTGTATTATTAATCAGGATGACGTTTAGTTGCATATGAAATGCAGTATAATTCCTTCAAACTGTAGCACAACATACCTTAATCCTGATTTACTGAAGTTCGTTTTTCATTTTACACTGCTGGTATATAACAGCTAATTGAACACTGATTAGAAAATTGATTAGTCTATTGGTATTCATCACAGTTATTCAATCAGTGAAAATAATTTTACTTTGATTTGACCAAAAGTGATTTCCACATTTCCTTCATTATGGGACAGTGTCTGTAAATGTGAATACAGTTCTTGAGTATAACATTTAAATCTGCTGCATCAAGTTCAGAGTTAAAGAGCTGTAGAATGAGCAGCTGTCACGTTAATTATAATTAAACTGAGTGATAAAATACATTTTTTTTTAACTTAAGACTTTACACAGTTATTACTTTTCCACTAACAGTCCTCTATTGCCTTCATTGCATCAACAGTGTTGCTTTTTGCTAGAGCTGCACAGTTAATCTAAATATTACCATACCTACTTTTTGTGAAAATAATTTTTCATATTCTCCATTTTTTGTGGTACTACAGTCAAAAGATGCACCAGATGCCTCCTTTTATGGGAACACGCACAGAGCCTGAGGAAGAAAGCCTGGGTTAACAAAGCAACTTGATAACCACTTATCGTGGTACCTGTTATCTCTGACTAAGGCTTTCGGCTTTGTTGTGCCAGCTCAGGCAAAGAAAGCCTTGCTCTGTTGAACCTGCTTCATGGTACACCCCTCTGGTATCTGTATCCAAATGTTGTTGCTCATCACGTCATGACCTGCAGAATTAAAATTGCTGCTGTCACAGATGAGACCAGATTTTTTTATAATGCTTGATCGATTGAATCCGGAGCTGTTCTTTGCTGCTGCAGCTTGCTTCATCATGTGATCCACAAATACTCATTAAAGCTCACATAGTGCAGTATGATTAATATTAATTGAGCTAAATTGTGGAGGAATAGTTAATTTTTGTTGTCGTTCCCATGAAAAACCTGTAGCTCTGTTTGTCCTTGGTACTATAGATGAGGACAGCATCAGTGACTGGTCCACAGACAGCTGTGGATGGAGCGACGATGACTTTGGGGTGGATTTGGATGTCACCACGCCTCCCCTGAGTGTGGACTCTGGTGCTGTCGATACAAGTGACCAAGAGATTGTGCGATGTATCTGTGAGGTGGAGGAAGAGAATGACTTCATGATTCAGGTGAGCTGGTTGTTTTTAATATAAAGCACATCTATTTTTAAGGCATTGCAAGCTTTGTTTTGTTTTTAGTATTAGGGTTGCATTAATGTGAAACAAATATGTCCTTCCCACAGTGTGAAGACTGTTTGTGCTGGCAGCATGGCACCTGCATGGGCCTGCTGGAGGACAATGTTCCAGACAGATACACCTGCTACATCTGTAGAGACCCACCAGGTGAGGAAAAAACAACACCACCTTAAGCTATAAATTATAAAATGTCATTAGGATTTGTTGACTTCAAAGCATCCTCTGAGATCCGTAGAGATCACTGCAGATCTGCCATCCAGTGGACAATAAGTAAAATGACACCATGTACAATTATCAGTGGACGTTAATGATTTTTACGGAAACTTATATTTTAAAATAACTATTAGACATTGCATTATACAAATGTGCTGTTTGACATTATGATTCTGATCAAGGATGTGCGTGATTAGTCGACATAGTGAATTAAATGTTATTACCTTTGTTAGTCAGCACCAAAATGACTAGTTGGTTAAATTAAATATTGAAATTAATAATATTTTATGCCATTGCTTTCATCCAATCAAAATGATATTGTATTAATCAGGCATGTCTCCTAAAGATTTATTTATTCAAGGATTTGTTTTCAATAAATGTTACTTACTAAGTGAGTCGTCATGTTTCATAGGATAATTAGTGATGTTTGCAATGCACCGTGCCAACATTACCAACATTTTAAGTACGATTTTGTTTCTGAAAAGTGCAATTAATGATTTTGAATGGCTCCTCTAATATACGCAATATTTTTTCAGACAGTGTTTAACCTCCATAGATAAATTGCGCTCAATTTGAACCCTTCTCTAAATGTTTTTTCTTACTTTTAGATCGGTCATCTAGTCTACGTTTAAACTTCTGTTTAAACTGTCAGGGAAATTGAACGTTAGAAACTTTGCTAATTCTGGTGTTAATTTTTTAAGTTCCTTTTTTTTAAAACAATTTTTGAACAGCAACATTTAAAAAAATAGATGGTCCACATGGATCTTGCCCCAGATTTTATGCTCTTACACATCAAAATGTTTAACTGTTTCCTGCTGAAAGAGAACAGTGTGTATCACAGGATACAGTGCAGCGAGCACAGTCCAGAATATGCTTCCAGTTATAGAAAGTGATGAGAATAAATAGAATACACTGAAGGATTAATGTGTCCTTCAAGATTATAAAACAGTGAAACTACAGAGGGTTTGTGCTGCAGAGTGCCTTTAAGGTCACTGATTTACAAAAAGAAAGAAACTAAAAATAACAAGCTGTAAGTATTGTCCCTTTGACCTGAAAACTGCTGCCTATTGTGTTTGCTAAAGGAAAAACAAAAACTTGTTTTTTTAAGAGCAAACACTCTGCCAAGGTGGAGGAGTAAGCTGGTATGCATGAGCAGAGCACGTTGAACTGTGAAGTATTTTGTTGACTTTGAACTGCACATCAAGCTAAAGCTGCACCGAGCCTGGTTATGAATGCACACTGCATCTGAAGGAATGCAATTCAAAATTCCCCCAATCCAAAAACTGTTACACCCCAACCAACCAACCAACCAACCAGGGCTGTACCAAATGGTTTGAAAAATCAAAGCTTAATTCAAGAACCTGCTGTCAGTCATTTCATTTTGCTGACATTTAACTGCATGTTGTTGATTCTTTCCAGGTCAGAGGCAGAGTCTGCGCTACTGGTATGATCGTGAATGGTTGAGCAATGGTCACATGTACGGCTTGTCCTTCCTGGAAGAGAACTACTCTCACCAAAATGCCAAAAAGATCACCACCACCCACCAGCTGCTGGGAGACGTGCACCACGTGGTAGAGATCCTCAACGGACTGCAGCTTAAGATGAACGTCCTACAGTGAGTACAGAGGAACTGCATGACCTGAGACTTCAGGGTGTGTTCTACTGAAGTCAAATTAAATGTAGATCGTGACAGAAATCAAAGTTGTCTAAATCACTCAGTTCCAGTTGAACATCTTATTATTTAATTTTAATTTATGTGATGGTCACACAGAGGTCTAATCTGTCCTTTTGGCTTTTCAGGAGCAATACCCACCCGGACTTGCAGCTGTGGCGGCAGCCCTGGAAGCATATGGAGAGGTCACGGACCGCCTCTGACTCGTGTCGTGGCAGTGATGCAGCCCCATCTCCTGTGACCCCTGATGAGGACATGAGCCGAGGTGAAATTTTAATGTCCAATGCTCTGGAGAAGCTGAGCCGGGCTGCTACAGCTGCCACCTCCTCTTCGTCCTGCTCCTCCTCCCCCTTCCCATCCTTCCAGGACTCTTACATTACCAGTGAACATTGCTACCAGAAGCCGCGGGCATATTACCCGGCAGTGGAGCAGAGGCTGGTGGTGGAGACCCGACAGGGCTCCGAGCTGGAGGACAGCATGAGAAGCACAGAGGAACTGTTGGAACGGGAGCAGCGCTATGGGAGCCTGCTGGAGACAGACAAGCCCAAATCAACAGGCACCAGTAACAAGGTAAGATCTTAGTCCACAGCAGACAAGGATGTTTAAAGGAGCTGTATGCGACAGTCTGAGTTGGGATTGTCTGCACACATTATACAACATGGAGGTAGCTTAGCCGGTGGCTAGCAGCTAACAGTGCTAAGATTTAGCAGTGTGAATCTGGAAGGGGAACCAGAGGGTCGGCAAAACATTTTTCTGACTACGCCATTATGCCACTGTGAGTGACAGCATGTGAGCACAGTGCAGAATGGAAGCACTTAGCTAGCCAGAGGGATACACACACAGGGACTCGCATGCACTGCACCACAACAAAGAACAGGGAAGCTTGGATTACAGCATACACAGAAGGAGTGTGACTCCATCTTCTGTTGAGGATGCCACTGCTCCACTATATCTTCACATTACAAATATTGCTTTGCTGCTGTCAGTCAAATAGCACTGAAACACTACAGTATCCATGATCACACTTGCTGGGGAGAAGATGTCTGCCACAGGTGGAAGGAATCTGGGATTTTCAGAATGCCTTATTGTTGCAGTCAATAACAAAAATAAAGCTCCAGTTGCAGAATCAGTCTTGAATAAATGAAGATTCTGTATGGCAGTGATTAAAACTGCACAACATGTTTTATAAAGCTCAACTTCACAACTCCCTGCTGCTGCTAGTGGCACCAGCAGCACATTTTAAGCTGTTTTTGCCATAATGTTCCTTTGAACTCATCAGTGGCTTCTCCCCCAGAGTTGCACAGTCTTGATTACAGAGTGGGCAACAGAACATTAAAATAATAAATAAATAATAAATTGGAAGGAGGAGAGTTGTCAAGGCAGCGTTACTTCTGAGTTACTCAAGTGATTAAAAGATTGGGCCAAGCCTCTGTTTGACCTCCAATCATGGCATAACAACCCCTTTTGTTTGTTTATGTCTCGTGTGCATGATTAATGTGCAGTGATTTGAGAGTTGGTGGAAACAGAGGTCTAAAGTTAGTTGTGTTTAAAATCTTGTCTGATGATGTCACCTGAATGTCTCCAGGTTTCAATGGGTGGCTGTTGGTCCCAGGCTGAGACTAGGGAAGAGGGTGGAAGAGATCCTGGAGAAGCTGCAGATAACAGCAGGCAGCATCAGCAGAGGCAGATCAACCTGCTGGATCACATCGATGCAGTCCAGGATGAGGTCTCACACAGGATGGACTTCATTGAGAGGGAGCTGGATGGTAAGCCCTGCGGTGGCCTTGGCCTAGTTACCGACTTTGTCTCTTTAGCATGGTAGGAATCTTTGAGATTAGATTTAAAAAGAAATGGTGAATGGTGGCACCTGCTTATATCGCTGGTCCATCTGTCCTTAATGTTAGCTGATGTGTTTAGCTTTGATGTGTTTTTTACTACCTTAGTATGAGGGAAGTATAGCCTGCCTGCAAAGCAAAAAGCTAATACACCCACACTAGACCTTTGAACTACAAAAATGTACAGGTGTTAGAGGGTGGGTCAAACACAGAGCCTCCATGTACAAGTCAGTGTCACTCAAGTGTTGTTGAGCAATGAATGTAAACACGTTTGCTTTTGATGATTTGTTAAATTATGCAACAGCCCAGAGATTGTCCTGCACAAATGGCTGTGAGGATTACATCATACCTGGCAGAGTTGCTGTTAAAAAATTGGTGCTGGTCCACATGTCCTGGTAGATTTTAATGTCCCTAATAAGAGGGAGAAATTACTGTCAAATAATGTGTTTATTAATCATAAAACAGTTGATAAGCAGGGTATATAAAGACATCTTTAAGGCATGTAGCTTTATAATTTACTACGGAAAAGAACATAATTCCCGTGAATAGACTCATATCCATAATAATGTTAATTGAAAATAATCTTAAAAACAAATATTACACTAGCCTCCCATTCAGCTTTACACTGTTCTTACTGAATGTGACTTGAGCAAGCATCAGCTACAAAATTAGTTTGATTTTTATGTCGCTCGCTTTGAAAGCGCTGCAGTGGATGAGGAACAGTTAATTCATGAAGTTGAAATGAGACGGTATCTATACAATACCTCCTTAGTTTTCTACAAAAATTATAAAAACAGAGGTACAAATTTCTGGTGTATGACCACTGCCAATAACAACCTCATTGCTGTTGGTTTTATTGAATGTCATTTCCGGTAAATATCGCAATATATATATAAAATGTGTGTTCTTTAAAAAAGTAGAAATGTATGAACTCACCCATCTTTCAAGTGGCTACATCTCCAGACTGATTAGTGTGGACAGAGTGTCAGATGTGACACGACACGTTCTTTTGGTTCCTCATACATTCTTTAATCATATATTCAATATGACAGGAGAGATTTAAATATTTTGGACTTCAACAGATTTTCCCAGTAAAACAAAAAAAACAAATATAGCCCACTGAATGTATACACATGCTGCTTTTGCTTTTTAATGATTATTAAAACACTGAAAAAAGACTTACCCTGGTGTAAAGGGAAGCAGGGACACTTTGCTGATATTCAGCCAGCTGTGTGTCATCGCATTGTGCGCAGATGAACATTGTTTGACTTCCCCCAGAGATCCCTGCCCGTGTGGTGGCAGAGGTCCGGGCGCTGGCAGCGGCACAGGATCAAAGCCAAACACTGTCACTTGCACACACTGTGATGCCACACAGCTGGTTCAGTATCAGCAAAGTGTCCCTTTATATTCATTATCTTTTGTGGCGATCACCAGTGATGTGGTGGTTCACTTTTACACTGTAATCTGTAGCCTATAGTTCGGCTTTAGCTTCTAACTATCTTTGTCTTGAACTGAGACACACCTCTGTGGAGTGTGCTTGAGAGACAGAATCTTTATGGGCTAAAGAAAGACATGATGTGTAACCATGTGCTCACCTGTGGTCCTTCTTCTGCTTGTTCTCCTCAGTGCTGGAGAGCTGGCTGGACTACACCGGGGAGCTGGAGCCTCCCGATCCTCTGGCCCGTCTGCCTCAGCTCAAACACCGCATGAAACGGCTGCTGACACAGCTGGGCAAGGTGCAGCAGATCGCCTTGTACAGCTCCACATGAGGGCACCAGAGCACAGCAGCAGCTTCAGTCCCCACACAGCATGCCGAGACGGTGCAGCGGAGGCAGCTCCCTGGTCCCTGGCTGCAAAGATAATGATATTAATGCAAGTGCGAGAGATTGTTCAGCACATTCGCTCTGACCTGACTTCTGCAGCTGTTTCTCCTTCTCAAAAAGGTTGTCTGTGGTGGAATCCGATGCTACAGCCAGCCAGTGTCATATATTGATATTTATATGAACATGTATGGAAAGAAAGCATCATAAATCAGGATTAAACACAAAAAGTAACCTCGTAAATGCAGGAGAAAATCCTTAGGACCAGATTACACTTCTGTGGTTCCCATGCAACTTTAAACCTAATGAATGCCTTGTGTCGGAGCTACTGCTTAAGGTTGCCCTGTCTCTCTCAGTACACAGTGCTTTACATGCAGAAGCTTTATATTCGGAATTGCAATCAAGTTCCTGAACCTACACGGCCTCTTTGCAATAGTTTCTTGAACACGTTTTCAAATGGTCACTGTTATTGCATCAATGTCCCAAAGTTCACTTTACGTCACCTGTCACGTCATGTCACGTTGCATTAAAACCCTCACCGTAAGAGTGGGCAGACGTTAACTTGAAGACATCCAGTATGTAAGGACACTGTTGAAGCAGTCTCTACAAATAATCTGTTCTGTTTGACCTCCTCAAGGTTTTGTTTTCTACTACACTGTGAAGTTATTTTTGTCTGGAATCAAAGGCATCTTATTTTCAGTTTTAGAGACATTAACAAGTGTGATTTCTGTTTTGTCTTATTCTGTAAGGCTTCTTTTCTAACAGTCCTCCCATCCGTGTACCAGTTTAATCAGTTAATGTGTTTGTCAGTTACTGTATCCTTTACTTCAATTAACTCTTTGCATCGTCGTTGCTGTAGCACTTGACCCATGATTCACTGAAAACTGTAATGTGGACTTGTCTTTTCTTAACCTTAGCATCTTGTGCTCTGTCGGTGACAAATACTACTTAGGAGACCTGTTTTTTTTCTTTTTCTGTTCTGTTTCATCCGTTTATTTTCAGTATTTGGCTTGTTTGTAAATATGTTATCCAAAAAATGTCCTATTCTTTATTGAAAACATTCTCTGAACTCATATATTGTATGCTACTGTACTGTAAGTGTCTGGCTTAGAAGCAGGGAAATGTCAAAAACAATGCAAACAGATTTGCTGGTACATAAATAAACTATCATTGTTATTAATCACGACGGGCATATTCTTGGCTGGTTTCTCATTGTGTCTCTGAAATGCAGGGTGTTTGAGGAAAAAAGAAAAGTGCTCCCTCTGATCCTGTTTATCAACCTGGCAGTAACACTAACACACAGTGAAGTCAAAGGTTGCATCACTCAGTTTGATGTAACATGTTTTCTTAGCCGCTGATTTGTGCTCTTACACAATCAGATTGAAATTGGGGCCAGCAGTAGTTTTGAAGGCTGTGAGTTTTTCCTGAACTAAAGGAAAACCCTGCTGAGATTCCACTGAGCAGAGCAATTAACTCGACAGCAGAGCTGCTAATGACCCGAAATGGCACTGGCTGCACTGGGCAGCTGCAGTCTGAACGAGAGGGACTTACCTCTGGTGGAAAAAACATGCCCCTCCCCAAAAAAGAAATTGCGTGCATACTTTGATGTAATGTGTTTTTATCACATAGCCGATTTGTGCGGTTACGTAATCAGATTGAAAATAGAAACTTGATGGGAATTCTAATCGGTTAATCTCTAAAATTTGAGCCAACATCACGTGGTGATAGATCAGAGCAAATGATATACTGCACATGAAGAACTTGTGTAGTGTCAGTCAAAAGAAGATGTCTCTTGATTTTGATGGCGTTGGACTGTGTGGATCCCAACCTTTTCTCCCTTTTATATCATTGAGTAAACTGATGACCCCTTAGTGACATATTTTATGAATGCTATATATCAGTGATTCCCAACTGGTCCAGCTACGGGGTCCAGATTTCTTCTTAGTCATTAGTTAAAGGTCCATGCAGTTCAGCCTCATACATGACACATTCGTGAGTCATTTGTGGTCCATTGACAATGGACCCGTGACCCACTTTTGGACCGCGACCCACCAGTTGGGAACCACTAATATATATTATATTCAATGCGTGACAATAACAGTATAGCGCAAGTGATAAACTGTACAATTAACCCAAATAGTGAACAAAATAGCTGCAGAAAGTTTGTGTAAAACAAGCGCTTTGGATGAATTTTGAGCAGATTATTTCCTGTGAATATTAGATGAGTTTTCTGGATATTTTTATATAATTCTCTGTATAATACTCTATAATATTTTTTTTAACAATCATACATACTTAATAGGCTTCTTTTCTGACATATTCAGAGTTCTCTTCTGCCCAACCATTGATCTGTTAGCTCTTTGGTTGTTTAATTTTCAAATGCACAACAAGGCTGTTGAGCAGAAAGTGAGGGCTGTGTGAATAAATATTTTGCTGTGCCCTTACCCTGTGAGATATTTAAGTTTTTCAAACTTTAAAAATAACAGTTTTATTCCCTTTCACTTGCAGAAATGAAAAATGCTGAGATTTAGGCCTACTGTCTATATATATTTCTTTTAAAATTTCTTACACCCCATAAAATCAAGATGGCCCTGTGACCCCCAGTGAGACGTCACGTTGGCAACCCCTTTTGAGGGTCAGGACCCCTGGGTTAGGAACCAGTGTAGCCTATGTTAAATAGACTTATACCCTTGAAGGGTGTCACTGCACACCACCCAGGTCTGGTGGGAGCTAGCCAGTGGTGCCGCTCAATCAGCGATTGTTAACAGCTGTTCGCCCTGTTAGCAACATTAGCAGTGTCAGGCCAGCTAGTGGTGTAACATAGGACGCATTCACACTGGTGCTATTTGGTCCGCTCTAAACGAATCCTGGTCCACTTCCATGGGTAGTTTGGTTCGTTTGGAATGGTGTGAACGCTCATTCGAACTCTGGTGCTGACCAAACAAGCAGACACTGGTCCATTTGAAAACTGGGGGTCTCCATTAACTTGCAAGTGAACCCTGGCGCGGGTCGCTTACAGTGGGAAATGCAAACAGACTGGAGGTGACAGGAAGTGACGTAGGGCACATTGCATTTTGGTGTTTGGTGTTTTTGTGGTGACTAAGCCAGCTGAAGGGGATGGATTTCCGTTTTGGCCAATCGATGAGGCAGGTTTTCTTGTTCCTCATGCTTTTTTTTCTCCCTGGTCAGTGGTCGTTTCAGGCAATACCGGCCCCAAACGAGCAGCTGTTGTAACTGCGTGACGTTGTCCAAGCAGTTTGGTCTGCTTTAAAAAGTGCAGTGTGAAAGTGAACCGAACCAAATGAAGGTGTGAAATTTTTCGGCATTCCCCGCCCAAATGGACTATCCTGGTGTGAATGCGCCCATAGTTAACAATCCTAAAGGGGTTTGCGGTTTAATGTGAAGCTGTTTACTCACTGGGGTTACCAGATGGGAGACCGGAGGGTGGCCACCATAGCAGCCATAGTGGGGAGAAAAGTGGGACTGACTACCCACGGCCCTGGAAGGAGGGGGGTCCTAAAAAGCCTAAAATAAAAAGTTGTGTTTGCAGTTTTTTATTTCTAATTAGTACGTGTAAGTTCTGTGGAAGCTCTCTGAGGCCACTTTGACTTCGGTCATCCCAGCTTGCATTTAGAGTCGAGTGAGTGACTGCTTATGCTGCTGGAGTGCCAGTGAACACTGTCATGTCTTTCCCCAACAAAGTAAAATGAGGGTTTTGATAAAGAAAAGAAAGAAAACAAGGAAAGGAAAAGAAAGCAAAATGACTGTAAAGAAAATTCAAAAGGTGTGAGGGACATGGATCAAAAGAGGATGAGCAAGGGGCCCACAAAGATTGTTGATGCACGGGGCCCTGAATTTGGTGCTATGCCCCTGATACCCTAGCCTGAGTCTCAGACTGAAGCTCCCAGAACCTTCAGTCTGACATGGCTTCCATTGAAGGCGATTTACAAGGGGGAGGGAATTTGATTTTTTCTCTAACCAATCAGTAGAGATCAACGACTCACCCAGAATCTGACTTCATTAGTATCCATGCCTCGGGGGTGCTGAAAACAAGCGAGCATTGCCGTTTAAAATGTCTCCGTCGCCGTGCACGCCCAGCTGCATTGCTGTTAAATCCAGTTTAGCAGCTTCCTTAATTTGGTCCTCCATTAACGGGAGTAGTGGCGAAATACCTCGATAGCATCATTAATGTGGTCTGTAGGATCTGTAGCGGTCGCCATTGTTGCTATCCTTATCAGTTACCCACCGGCGTACAGCTTGACATCAGCGTGGCGCTGATTGGCTAATCGCTAGACCCCGGCGCTCATTGGTCCGTCCATCGTTTGGACGAGATAAATCGCAAATTCATTGAAGTATGCCAGACCAGAGATGCAAGAACCCCCCTCCCCACCACCGTGTTGAACAGAGGCTCTGTGGATGTCTGTGTATGCGGATCGAGAAGCAGGTGGAATGAAAATACATTCTTCCTATTATTGCAGCCTATTGCTGCACAAAGCTTGGGCATTTTTTATTTATTACTAGCGGTAAATAACTGTTTGTAAACTAACTGTGATTTTACCGCCTGTTTATCAAGATCACGAGATCTCGCGAGAACTTGTTTTCTGAGACGTACAGGGCTCAAACAAAGTTAACTTTCTCTTGATCTGTGCGGATGAAAAATGCAGCTTTAGTGTCAGAATGTTGGTAAGATGTGTGGCTTGTGGAAAATGAACCCAATATTTACTTTAGTGACTACTGGGCGAAAGAATTGACCATAAATTGTGATCACGTTCATTTTCCTCATTGACGACAATACATTCAGAGCTGCCGCAAGTCTCCTACGGGGGCGTGGCGCTGACGTCACTGAATCAGGAAGTGAGCTGAGTTGGGTATCTCGCTTCATCCAGTATCTCTGATGCAAGCCTACTCAGTTGAGTGGGCGGGGTCTATGGTCTGGAACCAGGCTACCTGATACCCTTGATATGAGAAAAAATAAATGCTATTATCTCACCTTTTTCTAAGACTGAGTCCAGTCTGGATCATGGCTGAAGTAAAGTTGGTATCCAGCTTAAACAGTAACATCAGTTTAAATACATTTGACTTGTCAGTATGACAGCTGGCGTGAACCCTTTTTGTTGTCGTTACTGAGATCAGAGTCTCGTCTCCATGATTCCGTATCAAAGTGAGACCTCCTGCCTCCCCACCTGTCTGTGGTGTGCACCGCCTCCTCCCATTGGCTCCTCCGCGGTGTCTGCGACGCAGCGTGTAGTTCCGCCCAGAGTCACATCGAAATACTAGTTGAGGCAGAGGAAGCGGCAGGCAGGAGCAGCGTGTACTCTAACACATACATACACAAATTACCATTGATATTCAACGATATACCTGGTGAGGAATTACCTGAGAGCCACCGGACACTTGTTTCACCGACGAGGTAAGTCTCACAGCCGTGTTTTCGCGGCAGCATTTCCCCGTTTACAGATGTGCCCGATGCCACAGGAGATTATCTCAGCTCGCTGGATCTCCCAACCTGTTCACGTTGCTGTCCATATATCGACTCGTTTGTGAGAGGGACGGTGGCAGCCGTTAGAACAACAAACCGTTATTGTACTTGATAAAAACAGACATTTAAAACACCGGAAAGAACTAACGTTGGTACTTGAACGAGCGCGAGCGAAGCCGTTCAGTAAGATGAACTGCAGCTCAATTGAATTGAGTTGTTTGCTGCTGCTCTAAACAGTAATGCGACATAACGGCTGTTATAACACCGTGTCTTCATTTTGGCAGGTCAGTGCGTTTCGGTATTAGTTTGTTTTCTGTTACATTGTGTACCTGCTAAATAATAACTTAGGTTCTCTCGGTGTATTAAAATGAAATGAGGCCTGTCACGATGCGTTACATCGTAAATTACCGCGCTTAAACTGTAGAAATGTTAGCCAAATAGCTTGCAGCTTGACTTTAACAGTCTTGCAATACACATTTAACAACTACAATCCTTATAAAATGAGTATTATTCTTATTTAAAAGTCAATGCCTTCCGGTTTAAGGCTGTAAACTTATTGTTGAGTATAATAAAATACAAGTTTTCCTTAGAGGAATGTTAATATTATTTTCAGTTGGGAATTTGTCTGGCGTTTTGACAGGAAACCTTTAACGCTAGCTTAAAAGGCCTAACGATACAGCTGTGTGTTGAATGTGTGGCTTGCCGTC